AATTAACCCACATTATATTGATCTCAGTTCTAGTTCAATAACTGCCATTGGTTCACATTATGCTGTTTTCCAGTCATGTTCCCCTCACAAATGTTTCTACTTATTTAGCAAACTTGTTGTACATTAATTTTGTTTTCCCAATACAGTATTTACTTTCAGCCCAACATTGCAGCCTTCTCCATGAAGTTGTTCTAATCTTGTGTGTGGTTCATTCCCATGGGACGTTATAATGACTATACAACTAGACAATCTTAGATGATTAATAACTTCTCTATTTATCTGTATGCCTTTGTTTCTCCAATCAAATTTTAGCAAAACATCACCCCATGTTCCTGTGAATAACATTGGCGGCGAAACCGTGCCTCTTATTTAGCTGGCCTGCCGCTGCTGACACCATTATCCGACTCCTCAACTATCCGACTCAACCACTTTAATGTAAAATTATAGTTGTTGCTCCACGTTAGCCATACGAAGAGCGTCTTCAAAGTCTGGGCATTATGGTATTTGATCTATACGGTCAGCGGTAGAACACGTCCACCTTGCTTACGTAGTTTGGTTGGCTTATATACATCGTCCATTATTCAGCTCTCTATGATAGTGAACAATGTATATAACAGTACTGTATAGACATGCATTTGCATGTGATCAAAAAAATAATATGTTTAACACGTAGGCTTTCGCGACCGACCTAACCCAAAAAGCTCTTATAGATTTCAAAAATGTTGGCATCCTAGAACTTTTAGGTTGACGTTCTAATAAAAAAACAAAGGACAAGTATTCAGCATTACAAACCAACAAAGAATACCAAGGTAGAAATACATATAAACAATCGACATAACACGTACGCATGGTGTAAGGAGACCGAGATGGGGTGGGGGGAGGTGGTCGCTCCTCGCCGCCTCTGGCCGGGTTTGAGGCTTCGTTACCGGCTGCCGATCCAGTCGAGGTCGGTTACGCACTTGCGAACTAGGCCTTGCCGGCCTTAAGTCCTCAAAAACGCACTAAACGCGAACAAAAACAGCCCAGTGAAGCCGTGCAGGCATCGGGAGAGTTACGAGTGAATGTTAAAAATGACAAGGGTTAGTTTAGTTTGACGGCGCTTTTGTTACGGGGGATGAACGCGTGAGACGGAGACGCACCAACCCGGACGTGACCGGGGCTCCCCCCCTCCGCGATGCCAGACCAGAGGTTTAATTTCCCGTTATCTTTAAATTTTCGTTTTTAGATACTATATTAGATTTTGTTGACAATATAACTTATAACACAGATTAGATGTTATACGAGGTGACGTTAAGGTTTCAGGTTTAACATGCAGGCTTTCGCGACCAATGTTATTCCATTATAATTTTTTTAATGGGTGAGATCGCGTAAACGTGTGTCGTTTTTATATTCTTGGTTCTTTCGGTAAAGTCACGTAGAAGGGAAACAATAAAATAATTTTTAAAAATACAAACACAGAGACAATTTCAGCCGAGAAGATGGATTCTGGCTTAGCAATCATTGGAAGGATTTGATCAACCATTTCGGGTCTTAATTGATTGTTCACACTTACGGTGGCTTTCAGACCGCATCCATTATTTTCGTCTCCCCCCTCCTCTTTTCCGAACATAGATGGACTCTTTTTGATTTAAAGCTTTCGTGACTGCAGTAATTCATATTCTTAGTTCTTTCGGTAAAGTCACGTTGAAGGGAAACAACAAAATAATAAAATAAAAAAATATATGTATATATTTATATATTTATATTATTTATATAGTTTGTATATATTTATATATTAAATATATTTATATATTTTTATATTTTATTATTTTGTTGTTTCCCTTCAACGTAACTTTACCGAAAGAAATATATAAATATATAAATATTTTTTTTTCTTTTGTTGTTTCCCTTCAACGTGCCTTTACCGAAAGAACTAAGAATATAGATGGACTCGTCCATCTGAACAAACTGCCAAATCGCTCTCCGTGGTGCTAAAGTTAAAAATAAACCGCCACTTTTTTCAAATTTTCTTGCTGTGGTTTTCACACCTGATGATGATTGCTTGTGTTGCAGTCGAAACGTCGTGACCTTCACGTCCTACACTGGCGCCGAGCGGAGAGAGAAGGTAAAGCAAATGGCAGCTAGCCTGCTAACGCAGCAGCAGGGTTTTTTTTTCCCGTGCTAACAAAGCTCAGGAAAATGCAACAATAGCCAGTTATGAAGTAGCTCAACTCATTGCCCTACACAGGAAACCTTTCTCAGACGGTGACTTCATCAAACAGTGCCTCACTAAAGTCGTGGGAATAATGTGCCCGGAGAAAATGCAGGATTTCAACGACGTTAGTATGTCCAGAAATACGGTTGCGTGGCGAATTGAAGACTTGTCGGCTAACTTAAAACAGCAAGTGTCAGATAAAGCTTGTGCTTTCGATTTTTACTCGATTGCATGTGATGAGAGCACAGATGCCACGGACACTGCACAGCTGTTAATTTGTTTTTGCGGGGAGTTGATGATAATTTTTGCATTACGGAGGAACTGCTCGATCTTCGGAGTCTAAAGGGAACAACAACTGGGAAGGACATGTTTGAAGCTGTGTCAGATGCAATTGACCAGGCTGGACTTAAATGGGACAAGCTGTGTGGAATTACAACGGATGGGGCTCCAGCAATGACAGGCGGGTGCAAAGGAATGGCCTCTATGGTGAGTGCCAAGGTGCGGGAGAGCGGAGGTGAGGCTGTCAAAATGCACTGTATCATCCACCAAGAAGCCCTCTGTGCCAAGATAATCCAGCTTGGCGATGTGATGAACACAGCTGTGAAAACTGTCAACATAATTCGGGCACGAGGGCTTTACCACAGAGAATTTCAAGCGTTCCTCTCTGATGTCGATGCTGAATACGGGGACCTACTCTACCATTCTGAAGTGCGCTGGCTCAGTCGCGGCTCCGTGCTGCAGCGGTTTTATTCCCTGAGATCAAATATCGACAAGTTTTTTTAAGAAAAGGGCAAACCTCTCCATGAGATCAGTGACCCTTTATGGTTGGCAGATCTGGCTTTTTTAGTTGATCTCACTGATCATCTCAACACCCTGAACAAGAGACGACAAGGCAAAGAGCCACAGCTGTATGCGCACATGAAAGCATTCCGTGCGAAGCTCCGTCTCTTCGAGTCACAACTGCGCAACTTCAATGTAGCGCACTTCCCCACGCTGACCGAAATCAAATGCGCATTTCCAAATGCCAAGCTCTCTGCAAAAAATTGGGAGAATATGTGTCTGTGATCACATCTCTCATGACAGAACTCAGCGCTTCCAAGATTTTTCTGTTATTGAGAAGGAAATCACACTGTTTGCGGCTTCGTTTTCAATGGATGCAAAAGAAGTGGAGGAGAGTCTGCAATTAGCACTGATCGAAATTCAGTGTGATGATTCTCTGAAGAATCAGCATCAGCTTCTCTCCCTACCTGACTTCTACCGGAGCTTGGAAAAGGCCAAGTTTCCTCTGATGAGACGCCACGCAAAACGAATGATGAGTCTGTTCGGCTCAACATACATCTGTGAGCAGACATTCTCTCTGTTAACGCTGAACAAAAGCAGGCTGAGAACCAGAACGACCGACAGCCATCTCCGTGACGTCCTTCGCATCTCAACCACCAAACTTACTCCTGACCTGCCAGCTATTCTTCAGACCAAAGCGCAGCATCACTGCTCCCACTGACTGTCGCGTAACTGAGCGCAACATTCTTCCCATTACAGGCGAGTTAAAAATATACACGCAGTTTTCATTTGTTAATAAGCCCAATTACTTAATAAATTCAGTCAATTAAAGTTGATGACAATTTTTTTAACAAACGTTAGTTGATATATTCTTGGTTCTTTCGGTAAAGTCACGTAGAAGGGAAACAATAAAATAACAAGCCCAATAATTTGTGTAATAAGCTTGAAATATCCACATCCCCTATTTCTTTTTGTCTCTCCCTTCATACAGGGACAATGAAGGGGGATCAGCACCCTAAGATCCAATCTGAGGCTGTCACTGACAGATAGACCTGCCAACACTTTTTGTAAAAAATAAAATGAAAATCTACTTAATGGAGAGCTATGATGGAGGCTTTTTTTTTCTTCAAACATGTTCAATTATCAAACGTAATTTACCTGCATTTGATTGATTTTGCCAATATTAGTGCATGAGAAGTGAGGCAGTATACCTCACGTCTAGTGAGTGGCCCAGCCCTTCGTATATTTTTCTGTATGTGGCCCTCGGGACAAAAAAAAGTTTGGACACCCCTGCTCTAAAGTATACAAGAAGGATATTACCCACAAACTTTGCTTTTTGTGACCGGAACTTGCACACGTTTTCTCATTGCAAACAGGTAACATTTCAAAATATCACTGCCCTGGTCACAAAAGCAAAGGTTGTTGGGGAATAATAGCCATTGTCTGTACTTTTGAGGCATGAGCGATTCGAAAATAACACTACCTAGGAACAAAACTAAATTGTTACACAGTGACTCCATTGCATCTCGAAGCGTTGTGCAAAATACGCGTGCGTGTCTGTAGACGGACCGCACGTCAAACTCTCCCACGGTCCCATCTCTTAGCGGTTTAAAAAAAAAACCCAACAACACGCTTCGCGGTGCTGTCTGCAACCGATACAACAACAACAAAAAAAGTTGGTTTAAAATAAAACGCGTTTGTAAAACGGAGGCCTCGGAGGCGGAAAAGGAAAAAGCCTCCGCCCGCTCCTCACGGGATCCCGTAGCAGCTGAAGCCTGGTGGCCATTCACGTGACCGGCCCCTCGCCCCTGGCCGCGGGTTGCGAGCAAGTGACGGTCGCGAGCGGATACAATCACAACAACAACCAGCAGCAATTATAACAACTGTGCTTGCCTCTGGTCATTCATGGTGACAATTATAACGACGATGACGGCTAGACCGTGTCGATTTGCTCCTTGCGGGTTTTAAGCCAGGCAGCTTGCAGGCGTCACGGCGACTTCGTGGACCTGAATTCAACCAGGTGAGACGCACTGAGATTTGACCGGTTGACAGGTTATATGATTATTCAACCAGGTGAGACGCACTGAGATGTGACCGGTTGACAGGTTATATGATTATTCAAGCAGGTGAGGTACCTCTGAGATGTGACCGGTGAGGGGCTATATGATTATTCAACCAGGTGAGGGGTTATATGATTATTCAAACAGGTGAGGTACCTCTAAGATGTGACCGGTGAGGGGCTATATGATTATTCAACCAGGTGATGGCCCACAGAGATGTGACCGGTTGACAGGTTATATGATGTTTGTTGCGGTTGCACCCGATTCAAGAGCCGAATGGCTCACAGGGCTATACCAAATAAATGAACTATGAGGTCCCTCTGACCTGTTGACGGGCTATATGATAATTGAACCAGGTGATGGCCCACTTAGATGTGACAGGTGAGGTCCCTCTGACCTGTTGACGGGCTATATGATAATTGAACCAGGTGAGGCCCCACTGAGATGTGACCGGTTGAAAGGTTATATGATTTTTTCACCAGGTGAGGTTCCTCTGACCTGTTGACGGGCTATATGATTTTTTAACCAGGTGAGGGCCCTCTGAGATGTGACCAGTTGACGGGCTATTTGATTATCCAGCCAAATAAGTTCCTTCTAAGACGTTACCAGGTGAGGTCCATCTGTACTCTTTGGTTTTTTCGGTAAAGTCACGTAGGTAAAATAAAAAATAAAACAATATAATGAAACAACTAAATAAAATCACGACGTTTTGGAGGCAACACAAGCTTCCGTCTTCAGGTGGAACAGTCACAGCAAGATAGCTGCATCAAGTGAGGCGCTCTGAGACACCCGAGCTTATATACAGGTTAAGGGGGGAGGATGAGCCAGGCAGGGGATGATGATGAAGTGCGGGGCTAAGTTAATCTGTCTTTTGTTATGCTGAGGGTTCGGGGGATGCGGTGGTTCACTGCACGGGGGCAATGGAAAAAAGGCTGTGAACTTATAAGGCAGCTAAAGTTTTGACTTGGTTTATGACATCTTTCCAGTGGTTGCTTAATTTAAAACTATCTTCTCGGTTGAAGTTGTGTCTATGTTTGTATATGAATCCTTGCAGTCACGAAAGCTTCAAATCTAGAGGTCCATCTATTAATTATTCAACCATATTAGATTATTATGGCAATACTATATTGTATAAGGAGAGGTTTCTCATTCAATGCCCCGTTGATTATATTATATATTGCGTTATATTTTACATTGGAGGACACAATTCAAAATTTTTGGGAGAATGAGTGCCTGAGCATTGCCCATTTTCGTGCATTTTCGCCAAATGCTATCTATTGGTATGCTTGAAAATACTCAAATATACCATATGCTTAGTGCTCATTGGGTAGTTGTACTATTGTAATTTTAAAAGTTCTGCTCTACCATGACTAAGTTATGTATGTAACTCCTCTCACGTGTGACTCAATTTCATACACTTTATAAAACAAATTGAAATGTGGTGCGTAAATGCTTAATATTTCTTCATGTATTGTATGTTCTAATCATATGCTGGCAGCTGTTGATACTCTTTGAATGAACCATGGCTGTGAATATATTTTTAGTACAGTAAACGAGTGCTTATTTCATGGCAGCTAAATTGTCATTCTGGAATGAAGGTGTTGTTGTTCATGAGGGTACAGGGCCATGGCATCCAGCAAGTACCAAACGGTTGTGGAGGGGGAGGCCTCAGAGACCGACTCAGATGAGGAGGTGTGTACCACTTCAGTCGCAGCAGAACCCAGCGCATGCATGGTGGTCACAGGAGAGGCTTCTGAAACGGACGAGGATGAAGGGGAGGAAGCAGAAGAAGAGGTTCAAGCTGTCCGTAACAACGGTCTGATACAGCACGAGGACCTGACCTCGCTGACAGGGCAGGGTGCCATCTCATTGTTGACTGTGGAGAGACCCGGGAGGGTGGAGATCTGCGGCGAGACAGAAGTGCCCGCGCAAATCTCCCGGCCACCGGGGACGAGGAGTTACAACACGCTGCTGCAACTGAAGCTACGAGAAAGCAATGCGCGTCTGCGGGGTGACGTGGCCGAGATGGTGCGCAAGGCATACACCACAGCCGCCAGGGACGTGCGCAACACCACGCAGCGGCTGGGCGACTCACAGGTGGTCATCATAGAGGCGTCAAACAGCCTGCACCATGCCCTGGACAATCTACACAGCATCCGCGACAAGATGGACATCATCACCAGCTGCAATTTGCTGCCAGAAATCCACCTGCCTGCCGAGCACAAGCCTTCCTGATGCCTCTCACTGAAGGGTTATCTTATAACACCTGAATAAATAAATATAAAATATACAAATCCCAGGAACACGTTTGTTGATTTCATATAACATGTTTTTCAATATATTTGTTGATTTGTTTTGGTCCATGTAATGTATAAATAAATTGTTTTGCAGAATTAATTTATCATTATGCAATGCATAACTACTGTTTATGCAATGCATAGTGTTATTGCGTTGCATAAACAATGTTTTGTAATCGGTGGCACAGTGGTTATGACCAAGACTAACGTAAATCGTGAATGATATGTGAACCTATCATAGTCCTACCCTTCACAAACCTGCACTGACCAACATGGTGAAGTATGATCAACAGCCCCCATGAGCAACAGGGGAGGCCTTCCGGAATTGTTTGGCAAGGGCTAAAATTATGATGGTAGAATCCAAAATATATAACCAATGATCAGTAATTTTTATTTGATCATTAATTATTTGTCAGTGCAAGACAAATGGCTTAAATTACTTAAAACAAATTATTTGATGTGTTTCCTTCCGGTTTTGAAACAGCAGCAACTTGTAAAAGGTAAATAATAGGTATATCTCAATTTTCACTTGATTGTTGCCAGATGTGAAATCCTAAAAAAGCTGGGTACTGTTCTGCATTTGATCAATTCTAAAATTCCTTATAGGTCACTTAAATGTTTAAAGGTTATGCTTTACAACAATGTGTACCTCTAGACATTTATTTTTATGACACCCCCCCCCCCCCGAGTGTGTTATTCTGCCTGTGTAATTACTATTGAGATATGTGCACCTACAATGTGACTGGGTCGTGCACCTCATCACCTCATGTAGGTGTTATGTGAAATGCCCTGATGTAATGTATCTCCTAAACAATATGTGAGTTCTATCGAGTTATCACGTGTACGTTTGAATATGCAGTTTTGGATATATGGACGGTGAAATAAATATTGCACTGCATGGCCTTGTTCAATTAATGCAGTTTTATCCAAGACAGTAAAGTACATTATTGTGGACCGAATAATAAAATGAGTCTCTTGAGTTTCCTTGCGATGGAAATCTGGTGTCGGATGTGCAGGCAGTCCCTGAGATACGAACGTTCTAACTATGAGCGAACCAGCATAAGATATTATTTTCAACCATCCGACTTCCAAATGTTCGGTCACATCTACGACCCACAGAACTATTTTGTTCTCTCGGAGCGATCCTCCACAAGATGTATTGAGTCCCAGTATCCCGTGTGAAACACCCCTTCCGACAAGTAAGCCAGTATCAGGACTCAAGTGAAAATAAAAATGCATTCCTTTTATGTTTTATTTACGATGCAGTATCAAAATATTACATGCAAATGTACAATATTTTTTAGTTTAACAATGCTTCCCTTTTTTTGGTTAACAGTGCTTCCCATTTTTTATTGAACCATAACACTTTTTATAAACACTGACCATATGTACAATATTGAGTTCCGAAATAACAAATCTACTCACGAATGTCTAGGGAACATAACCCGTTCTTAAGTAGAGTACTGTATTGCATGGTACATGTACAGACCCATCTGTTATTCTGCTCCTGGATGAGGGCTTCCCCATGCGAGTTGTTGGGGGTTATGTGACAAAACCTTCACGTTGGTTAAAAGGTGGTAAATTAGAGCATTGTCCACTACAATGATTACAGTACTGTACTCCAATGGATTTTGCTGCACTGTCCTCTGTTGGCAACAATCCAGCAATGGCCTACAGCACAGTATAGCTGCTCCGTATATTAACAAAAAAATATTGCATCCGTTAATAATACTGCCTTCAAAAGAAAACGTTTATAAGAGGTGATGTTTCGGGAAGAAACCTCAGAGGTAGTTGACTTATGTTGTGAAGGGGCATTGGCCGAAATTGTTTTTCTTTCCTTCAGTGTTTTTGGTAAGTTTTTTTTGTACGTGTGTGTCACTGCCAACGGTATATATTACGAACTAAATCAATCAGCCAAGCACGAAGATAATATTGTGAACATTATTTGAATCCGTTGCATTGGCAGTGGTGCACAAAACAAAAAAGCATTCATCAATAACATTGTGCAGCCTTAAAAGAAACATACAAATAGGCGACGTTTCAGGCAATATCCCTTCATAATACTGTGTGCTTTCGTGCATTTGAACGTTCATCGTTGAATTCAACTATCTGCGAAACTTTACCCCTTGTCAATGCCAAACATGTACTGCATGTACACTAAACATGGGGAATACTGTATCTTTAAAAGTTGTATAATCTGTAGATGCCACTGGCTTTCCATGTTCTGCAAATGTAGATTCCACTGGTTCTTCATGTTCTGCTGATGTAGATGCCACTAATTCTTCATGTTCTGCAGATGTAGATGCCACTGGTTCTTCATGTTCTGCAGATGTAGATGCCACCATCACCATGAATTGCGCAGCGGTTGAACTTACGGCTCTCGGTCTAAACAGGGCAACTGGGACATACGAAACCAGGTTTGTGCGTATCTCAGAAGGTTCGTAAGTCGAATGTTCGTAAGCAGAGGAGTCCCTGTTTACTCGTGTGCGCCCAACACCGCACGCTCCTTCTGATCACGTGACTTTGGCGCGCACTCGTTGCGTACCGAACACGTGCGCGCACGCGCGCGCCGCGGCGGGAATGAGCGCAGCGGCGATTGGCTCGAGCGTCGTTTCCCCTCCCCCACCTCGTCCCCCCTTTCTTCAACGCCGCGCGTCTATTGGCTGCAACCTTTTTTTTGCGCACCGCGGTAAAAAGGGAAGAAGAGATACTCCAACCCCGCCCCCACCACCCCAAACCCCGCCCCCACCACCCAAACCCCGCCCTCACCACCCCAAACCCCACCCCACCCATTTCGGGGCAAACCGTTGAAAGTGAGAACGCGTCACACCGGTATCGAATTCTCCACGCCATCTTCCTCGGGGCGTGTGTGAATCAAAGACTCCATAAGCGCGTGCGTCGCCTCTCGATGACGAAACCCCGCCCAATGCTAATGAATGGACAAGCCACTTGACCAACATGGCCGCGCGCTGGTTCAGCTCCGTCGTCGAGGCGCCGGCCAGGGCGCCCCCAACCACCACCAATCCCCCCCCTCCCCCACAGCTCTTGAGCACCGGCGTCTGGAACGTTCCTCTCGTGGACGCGCCTAGCACAAGGTCTCCCGTGTCGCTCGTCGTCAATCCGCCGTCATCCGCGCTCGCCGAGCCCCGCGACACGCGCCGATCGAAGCCGCTCGCACCCGCCTCGTCCTTGCCCTCGAGTTGGAAGCAAAATGCCCGAGAAATCCATGTCCGTTCGAGGCAGCGGAGGGAAGATGGGAGGCGCCTACCAAGACCGCGAAAAGCCGGCCATGATCCGCTCCAGCAACATCTGCGCCGCCAAAGGTGCTGGTGCTTGTTGCTGGTTGTTCCCTTGCCGTTTTGTCTCCCAAGCCGCATGGTTTAATGACGAGAACACGGCTAATGATGTCGCATTAATTTGTTACGTCGTGTTGAATGTTTGGAAGGAGACTTGACGCGTGCTCATTGACAACTCGCAGCTTCCATTCATTCGCTGTCGTGCCCATCCCAGTCAACGGTGGCTTCGTGTGCAATGTACGTTTTAATTTTTTTACGAAAATTGAGGGCAAATTTGTAACAATCGTATATTTGTTTCCATGTGTGGACCATGCTAGTTATTACAACTTGGCGTGAGATTTGTTAGACCTAAGGGCGCAGCTAATCGGCGTCGGTGCAGCTGTCCAATGTCAGATGCATTGACGTAAAGGCGAGGCCACAAGTCTTGATATGGAAACACGCAACACAAAGGCTCGTTCTTGCACTCCCTTTGTCTATCCACTACTGGATTAGAGCCACCCACCCGTTATGGGGGAGGGTTGGTAGTTGATCATACTTCACCGTAGATGAAAAGTAATTTTGAAAAGGCACTCCTACCTTGATCATTGAAAAACAATCCTTGCGTTTCCAATTCTAAAATGGGGCCTCGTCAATGTACCGGTGTATGTAGTTGAAGACATGGATTTGCTTAAAATGAACCCCAATACGACGAATCTCAAGTCGAGGTGGACACAGCAAGGATTAATGTCCAGTATATGTGCGTTTAATTAAACGTTGCCTGTATCATAAACATACGATGCAGCGTTAAATGCACCCGTGTGATGGGAGTCACGGTCATGTTTTCATGAAAATGTGAGTATCGTGATACCACATGAGTAAAGTGAATGCTGTAATGACGCGAGTACTTTTTTTTATTTATGGTCAAAATTGGTTTGAACTCGGGACCTAGAGAGCTTTAGGGCCTGTCTAAAAGTAGGAATTTTTCAGGCTGTATTTTTCTTTAACAGCTCCAGTTAAAACTACAATCATCAGCTCGCTAAATGTACAATCATTGCTTTTTTGTGAAAGGCCTTTCTAACTTTCCCAACCCTACACGGCGTATTGTAGACACGAGATGGGTGTTTTTTACGTCCAAGTACAGAGGTCAAGTGTCAACTCAAATATACACGGGTTAGGTCCCTATAAGGCAGGCAATTCTTAAGTATATGAAAGGGAAAGTGGCACATTTTTTGTTACCAAAATTACAATTCCTACCCCAACGTGTAGCGTATTCGTTAACCTGGAGGAAAGCTGCAATGCTTTACGTTGTCAGCTGAAACCCAAAAGCTTTGGGAATTTGTCGCTGGGGTGACGTTTTCAGGGCGTCACAAAGTACCTGTACATGTGTTGTTGTACGCGTCAAATGCACGCTTCGACCGTTGTCGTTCAAGTAAAAAAATGTTTGTTTTCAGCGGCCTATTTCGGAGGACCTCATTTTTTAACTGTCACAGACACTTGGCCATAGTCATCCGTGAATAAATAAATTTGTATACCTCGCTGTGCTTAAGTGTTTACTCTCGCTCCTCGTTGGACATTGCACACTTTTTTTTCCATATGAACCAAAATCCTAATTCGACGTTTGCCATCAGATATTTGAAATCTATTTTAGCGAGACGGATTTGTAAATTAACTTTGGTGTTCACATCGGACAAATTATATTCAACTGCGACAGTTATTACTTAGATGTACCCCCCCGCCGCTCATGTAAAAACGTGCAATTTTGTCTCATTCCTTAATTTACAACCACTTTGGACACGGTTTGCTAAGTGCAGGCTTGCGTTCCTGTCTCAAATATCGACCTGGAATGTTAAGCTGATGGCCAAAGCGTCTCCCTGCTCAAATGGACAATGGGTGGCTATCTGGCGGCCCTGATACATTTTTGGATATGTAATTGCCCCAATGTGGCACTCAAGTTGACCCCTCAATTGTGAATCAAACGCTCATCATAGTAGCACCCAGCTGGTAAGCTGCTAAATGATGAGTTGTTACACTTAGCCGAGTAATGTTTGATATCAAGTTTTCTGTAGGATAGATTTGTCAACTTGCACCTTTCAAGTCTAGGCTCAAGACCTTCCTTTTCTCCTGGGCCTATCTCTAATGTAGATATGCCCACAATCTGTCCAATGTTTTGAATTGCATTCTCATTTAGATGCTATATAAATCAGTATTGTGAAAGTTGAGGCTTTTCTCCGTGCGAGGACTCAAGTCTCTTGTGTGCGTTGCTTCACAGCGATTGCCGATGCAATCAGAACAAGCCTCGGACCCAAAGGCATGGACAAAATGGTACGAGAGGCAACCCTAACGTAAATTGCGGTTTCATAATTCACTTTTGTCACATAAAGGTCACAAGACTCAATGGCAATGTTATGAAAGTATAATACTATTAATGTTGCACCACGTATACAATAGCTTTAAATGCAGTTATATGCTTGTCATTAATACCACAACTGTAATTGGTCATCAGATCCAGGACGGTAAAGGTGACGTCACAATTACCAACGATGGAGCAACAATTCTTAAGCAGATGCAAGTGACGCACCCTGCAGCCAAAATGGTGAGTGTCTCTCGTGTTAAAATGGTTTGGACTATGAACTTGATGTTCACTAACACTTGCATTTGAGCAGGTTCTACAGGAAGAGCTATGCTGTTGTAGATTCTTGGACGCGCTTGCTTGTTGTAGTTTTCTTACAAAGGATTTATTCCATTACTTGTGTCCTTGTAGCTGGTGGAGCTCTCCAAAGCCCAGGACATTGAAGCAGGAGATGGCACAACTTCTGTTGTGGTCATTGCTGGAGCTCTGCTGGATGCCAGTGCAAAACTGCTGCAAAAAGGTGTTTTGCACGTTTTAAACAGTTTTGGAATCTTCCATTAAAGATGAGGTGAGTTGCACACTTTTTTTAATTACCACTTGTGATCTATACAGGAATCCACCCAACAATCATCTCTGAGTCATTTCAGAAGGCCCTGGAGAAGGCTCAGGAGATTTTGGAGTCAATGTCCTTGCCTCTGGAGCTGTCTGATAGACAGTCCCTCCTCAACAGTGCGACCACAGCTCTCAACTCAAAGGTGGGTCTTCAGCTTTGGTTATCTGATAGGCCAAATGCAAAGCCTGCCAAGTAAATCTTTTTTAACAAAACTATCCGCAACCTTGTTTGTCTTTACACCACGTTGAGCCCCACCATCGAAGACCTAAAAAGATACAGCAGTTTACATTTAATGGGCTGCTGTATTCACTTGGTTAATTTGGTTGCTGGAGAGTGGGACGCGTGTATCTGATATATTGGTAAACGCAGCAGGTGTTTTCAGTGTTTTTTTTCTTACCTGTTCAGGTAGTGTCCCAGTACGCGAGCTTGCTGGCACCGATGAGCGTGGATGCTGTTATGAAAGTGATCGATCCAGCCACGGCCACCAGCGTTGACCTCAATGACATCAAGCTCATCAGGAAACTCGGGTAAGAACCTATCTGTTTGCGCAGTCTTGTATATTTGATTATTTCAGCGTAGTTCACTGAATCGGTATGAACCTATTTTTCTGTTTGTGTTCATTACCTTTGTATGCTCTTCAGGGGAACCATCGACGATTGTGAGCTCGTGGAGGGCCTGGTCCTCACGCAAAGAATCTCCAACACTGGGATCATTCGAGTGGAGAAGGCGAAAATTGGCCTCATCCAGTTCTGCCTGTCCCCACCCAAGACTGATGTAATTCAATTACATATACCCTTGGCTTTTATTACATCTAGTTTTATCACGGAAAATCCAGTTTTACCATGGAAAGTCCAGTTTTACCATGGAAAGTCCAGTCTGAAACATTGGAGTTGGTTGTGGCCGTTTTACAGATGGAGAACCAAATCGTGCTGTCGGATTACACCCAAATGGACCGTGTTTTGCGTGAGGAGCGCACCTACACCCTTAACCTGGTCAAGCAGGTTAAGAAGGCGGGCTGCAATGTGCTACTGATCCAAAAATCTATTCTAAGGTGAGCTGGGCTGTGAGCGTCACTGAATTATTTTACAGTGGAGCTGAAAGACTTTACATTGTGTCAAAGAGAAGTAGCATGAATATTTGCTTAGAGCTGCTTGAAATTTGCCACCACTCACCAGAATGGATTTGCTAATCGCAGCACATTTTTTTTGCGATTTATTCAGAGATGCTCTGAGTGACCTGGCACTACACTTCCTCAACAAGATGAAAATAATGGTGGTGAAGGACATTGAGAGAGAGGACATAGAGTTCATTTGCAAAGTGAGTAAAGGTTGAAAATACTGTTTTCCATTGATTGTGTTGATATTAAAATGCGATGTGTTAACACTTAATATTGCATTTCCCCTAGACAATTGGTACCAAGCCCATTGCTAGCGTGGATCACTTCACTGCCGAGATGCTGGCATCTGCTGAGCTTGTGGAGGAGGTCAGTGTGGGCAGCAGCAAGGTGGTCAAGGTACGTGTGCAAATTAAAAACTCAGCAAAATATTTTCATCATCTCTACAGCACCCCATACCTTGTTTTCTGCTCAAATATCGTAATAAATTACCCTTCCGCATTCTTGAGAATTGGACATTACCGACCAAGGTGTCTTTCTGCAGGTTACAGGGTGTGCGAACCCGGGCAAGACAATGAGCATCCTGGTCCGTGGCTCCAACAAGTTGGTACTAGAGGAGGCAGAGCGCTCTCTCCACGATGCCCTCTGTGTCATCCGTTGCCTGGTCAAGAAGAGGTGTGCAAGTGTAGTGCACCGCATGCAAGCAACCCTTGCTGTAAGCATGTGTTAACGCTGCACGCTGGTTGTGAAGGGAACGTGAAGGTGAGTTCTGCCGCCTCTTCCCTGTGTGGTGATCACAGGGCCCTGATTGCTGGAGGCGGAGCCCCCGAGATCGAGCTGTCACTGCGCCTGACGGAGTACGCGCGCACGCTCAGCAGCATGGAGGCGTATTGCGTGCGTGCCTATGGCGAGGCCATGGAGGTCATCCCCTACACGCTGGCTGAGAACGCAGGCCTCAACCCCATCAGCACGGTCACAGAGCTGAGGAACCGCCATGCCCAGGGCGAGAAGACTGCTGGCATCAATGTCAGAAAGGTCAGTGGCATGCTGTTGACCACACAAGCATGTTGCACCATGTTAAGTAGTTTTTTTGTTGTTCCTGATGAGTAGCTCCAATATGAATTAAGGGTTTTTCATTGTCTAAAGGGTCAAGGGTGTATCGCATATATTGTTGGGACACCAATTCAGTGCAACTATAAAACATAGCTTCACAGCTAAATGACCTGTCAATATACTGCACATATATCCATATGGTGTATTTTGATAGTGTTCAAAGACCATGGTCTCGTCAAATAGAATACTGATGAATGATCGTTGGTCATGTAAGTTTGAATTTACTTTAACTGCTGATCAGTTAATTTCCACTGAAGCCCATTTGTTTGTGATGGCAACTAGGGTGGTATCTCCAACATCCTGGAGGAGCTGGTGGTGCAGCCCCTCTTGGTGTCCCTCAGTGCAGTCTCCCTGTCCACCGAGACGGTCCGCAGCATTCTCAAGATCGACGACATAGTAAGGCACTCTGAACCACGAACCCAGGCCTGACTTACACTGATCTTCTGCATTTGAGTGCATATTTATGAATGCATCTGAAATTGTTTGTGCTCCTGTGAAATACTTGTATGATCACACATTGAAGACAGATAGACCCATGCATAATCTAAACCGGTGGTTTTCAGCTTTTTTGGTGTGACAGCCCCCAATCAAGACTAGACCCTAGACCCCAGCCCCCCTCCCCCTGGTGTGAGAAGGCTTGTCTCAACATGTTTGTTGCACAATACCTAAGTGTAACTGATAAAAATGTACTTTTGCGTTGCTGCTTAAGATCCCAATTTATTAGCGCACAACTTTTATAATTGCAGAGATCATCACCTGGTCATGTAGCTAGTGTTTAATATGCTTTTATTGTATCTTTTTCAGGTGAACGCCAAGTAAACATCTACATTTAAACATGGTGAACACGACATGGCAGGAACAAAGTAGCTTCCACATTGCGTAGAAAACAAATTTTATTTGGCTGCAGTAGCCAAATTGTTTGAAATGATCACATCGTCTTGTCTTTTTATTAAAAAGACACAAGTGTCCACATTACACTGTTGAGCACTGAATAAAAGCTGAGATTACTGAAGTTGCAGCTGTCCTGTGCAAATTCCATGACTTGCTTCTCACCTGCTATTGGTTGGCATGTGCCATGATCTGGGTCTGTCAAGAGAAATGTACAATGAGGTTTTGTTAATCCAGTGCACATTTAAATTGAAGCACAATAACTTTGTTCACTTCAGATTGGAGTATTACCAACACCAATTAAGTGGCAGATTCCCAAGTGGGGTATGATTTGCTTCCGTTGGTTATTGTGGCATTTCCTGATTGCAATTAATGAACTATTTGTATCTTGTAAGGATAACTGCTAATGGCCACGTGTATGCACATGACATACAGCCAAACAATTTAAAACATCAAATTTTACACATTCTATCTATGCATGTTTAATTGATGCATTGTTGCACCCTTTTCAAGTCGCATTATCTGGTATAGTTGCTGGGGATGACACGCACCTTGAGAAAAGGCAGTGCATTGGTGGCCTGAAGACCCAGACTGCGGAGCAGAACCACAGGCCCGAGTGTGGTGGAGTATAGTCGCTTGAGGCCGTCAATGGCCAGCATGGTGGGCAGGTTTTGCCTTTGCTGGGTTGTCTCGTACTTGCTCAGGTGTTGCAGAGAGCCTGAAGAGAAATTTAGAGTTATCGCCAATCCAACTTTAATTTTAAAATCATTCTTTTAAAATCATTCTGCCACTGCCATTTGAATTGCAGACTGAACATGCTAGAATGCACTTTCAAAAGCCAGTGTTTATCATCCCTACAAGTATGATAAATACAAACAAGTAACATTTGCAATTTTCCAGATACTGCTATAAATGGTAGTACCTTATTTATGCTCATGTACCTTGCCTGAAAAGCAGTCAGTTTACAAAATCTGGTATATAACTGTTTCTGGTGGATGATGGTAAACAATACACAGGCGTTTCTGGGAACCTAAAAAAATTGGGTCATTAATCCCATAGATGGTAGAAACGGTACAAATATTACTTGCCGATTTGTTTTTCCTTCTATCAGCCATAAATATTTTACAGAGTTTAATCAAAATCCAAGAAAATACTTGAACAACAAAAGCCCAATTCCCAGTCACGTTGGAAACCACTGTTCAAATGTTCCGAATCTTGTCCAAAGATGCGGCGTAAATAAGTTTCTGCATTTGAAATCGATCCATGGTGGCATATAAACAAATGTGGATTGTAAATTGGACCATCGCAAACCGAGGACTGCCTGTACTTCAAAGCAAATGCCTATGATTTCAATATAAAGAGGGGTAGTCCTGTGAACCGCATGTTAGAGCAGGGCTTTGCTGGCTCACCCAGGTCGCTGCCATCGTATGCGGCTTGGCTTAGCACATCGCGCAGGCAAGCAACATCTCCAAAGCCAAGGTTGACCCCCTGACCCGCCAGTGGGTGAACGCGGTGTGCTGCGTCACTGTTGCAAATAAACACAGGTTTTAAAGAAACCCAAATGGTCATAAATCGTGAGAAGAAAGTGGTTGATTTGAAATTTGCTTCATGACATCCATACACAAAACATTTCCTATATGTTAAAGATATTTCCCCAGCACCTTGATAAATTCCTGTGATTGAAGATCACAAAGACAAGAAATTAATGTGTGCATACTAAAAGTTCCTGAGATCGTGAGCCCTCAGAAGAGCAGGCCACCTTACCCGATGAGGGCGAGGCGAGGTCTGACATAGTTTGTGGCATGGCCCAATCCCAGTGGGAAGGATGCCCGGCTGGCTGGGTCCACACCCGACACGCTGGGAGGCAGCTGACGAACTGAGGTCCCCCAAGGCAGAAGTACCATGAGCAGGGAGCGGAACACGGAATTTGCCGTGTCCACAAGCTCAGAGCGATTATTCTCGCTCCACTGACTCGAGGAAAGGGGGGGAGAAAGGGATTTTAAGCACTACTTGAAGATGGTGTAGAAAAATTCGAGGAACACAGCTATACAAGTGCAGAAATCCATTCTCAGCGGTATTGCAAAAAGCGTTGCCTGAAAACTTAACAAAAGTGGTTTTAGGATTAATTAATTTAACAAAAAGACTTGCACCGTTTACTTTTACCAATGAAAGCGTGGAATAAAATCAGACGTTAATAGCTGCAGCGACTACAAGCATACAGCGCTTATTACACCAGAAAGTACTTAAATTGCTTTGCAGCCTGGACATCAAATATGCAAACTCAGCCGCATCAAGACGTGAATAATGCTGAGCTCTCTACAAACTAGATGCCAGCACTTTTTAATGTGCAAAGTCTCAGCAATTAAACATTTCCCATCACTGGAAGCTTAGAAATCTTCAAGGCCTGCTTTTAAAAAGATGGAGGCTCTCAATACTCCATTTTAGTTGAATTATGCAATGATTAACCATACATTTTTCTTGATTTTTTTTCTCGAATCTTTTTTTACACGCACATGCTGTTTCCCATCGGCAGTGTGATTTTGTAGAAAGTGACCTGCTTAGTTTTCCATTAAACAGGCTTCCTCTCGGCAAACCACTTGTGATGCCAAGGCTGTAAAGCAGCTGTGCTGCCTGGTGTTTAAGGGGCTTTAAGGTGTTACAATTTGCATGGCACTTGCATTTCCTATGCTCACAAAGGCGGAGTTGACAGCGTCGACAAATTCCTCGTGGCCTGCAGCGAGAAGCTCCTTTGCGTGTTCATGTGACGTGGACCACACGAGAGAGCTTAGCCGCTCACTCAGCTGAGACACAAAATGACGGGGTTACCGGATTGACTTAACATCTCTTGCTGCAGTCTTAAAATGTATCAGGACAACCTTTTAATATTAAAACGTTGACGTCATGCATTTATATTTACCGGCAGCATAGCGATGGGGCCTGTGGGCAGGAACCTCTGCCAAGCAACGTTGTTTTCCGTTGGCTAAAAAAAGACAATATAATATTCAAGCATCTGATGAATGTTAAATCCGTTTAAAAACAATGTGAAATACATATAAACGCTTACACTCACATTTATTTTTATTACATCCACACTGTTATATTTCAACTTAGTTTTTCTGTGCCTTTATACAATTTTACAAGACATGACAGTAATTTCATCCTGATATTTATTTGTTGCATAGCAACACTTTGACATGCAATCTCATTCAATAGAGTATAACACACCACTAGATATTTCTTATAATGCACCTCTGAAAGCTGAAGAGTGGCCACAACGGCCGACTGGTCATAATTCCACCGCACTGTGTGGATGCCAGCCGACTCCCTTGCCATCGAGTTGGGCCCATCTGCACCGATCTGCACCATTCCCAGGCAAACAAACCAAAACAACAAATGCTCACCTTAATTCTAGATTTGAAGCTTTTGTGACTGCAAGGATTCATACTCTTTGGTTTTATTCGGTAAAGTCACGTAGATAAAATAAAATAATTAAATCACGACGTTTCGGAGGCAACACAAGCTTCCGTCTTCAGGTGGAAAAGTCAACGCAGAATATCTGTGTCAGGAGCACAGTTCAGAGATAACAGGGATTATATACAGGTTAAGGGAGGGGGGAGGAGTCAGTAAGGGCGTGGGTGGGTCGGAGGGCTGGGTTAAGCAGCCTTTTGATAGGCTGCTGCGGGTAACAACCACTTCGCACTGCACGGGAGTGGGTATATAATCCCTGTTGTCTCTGAACTGTGCTCCTGACATTCTGCGTTGACTTTTCCACCTGAAGACGGAAGCTTGTGTTGCCTCCGAAACGTCGTGATTTAATTATTTTATTTTTTATCTACGTGACTTTACCGAATAAAACCAAAGAGTATAAATGCTCACCTAGCTAAATGAAGGTATGCAAGTTGGCTGAGCGATAGCCTAGCACACATTCAATGGCGTGGATGGGGAGGGACTCACCACAAGTTTTGTCCGCAGGGTGCGTCCATCCGCCAGTGTCACGCGTACCCACGAGCACCCAGATGCCTCCTTGTTCTTTTCGATTAACTCAGGCCCTTCTTCGGCCTCCTGTCGCTTCTCAGGAGCCATGACGGCCAATGAGTCCGGCCACTCGTACTTCACCACCCGAGTCTTGTAGAGAACGCTAACATGATCTATCACACACCACCAAACACAGCTCTATACAATCACCATCATCCAGATGATCCTTATGGCGGTACCCTGGGGTACCAAATAATAAAAAATGGCTGAGGCAATTAAATGTTTATTTCTGGGACACTTTTTTTTCCAGGGGTGTTACTTAACACCGCGACTGGGATACAAATCAATCCGAAATCAGTGCTACTCCGCGATGTCGAAACGCCAAACAGCATTCAAAAATCCGTTATCGCAAAAATTTTACTTTGAATAGTGCATCGTGTACAGTTCGTCTAAATGAGTCGATTACCGCATCGCCGACCATCAACAGACTAAAAATGACTGCATCACGGACATTATGCGAGTGCCAGGGTACTATGGTACCCCGGAGTACCGCCATAAGGTTCATATGTCCAGTGTTTCTTCCAAAAGTGATGACTTTAGAGCATCTGCCCCTGGCAAGCCGTGAGTGAATGAAATTGTTGGGAATAGGTTTTCCCCTTTTTTCTGGCAACAAAACAGGTGTTAAGATGTTAAAACACCAAACTGAAACCTTTTACAAGGAATCATGTCTGCATTAACCACAATACTTGTGGTCAGAATGCAAACAAAAAACACTCTGATAATATATGCATTGTCTTTGATACTGATTGGTCCACAACTAGTCTCAAAACGGTGTTAGACCAGAGGATGCCTAAAGGCGTACAGCACAAAGACAACGCCACTATCAGAGTAATGAGAGCTCGGGGTGAGCAGCTACATCATGGGACCTCCTTTGCCAGTACCAGACATGATTCTTTGTAAAAGGTTTTAGTTTGGTGTTTTAACATCTTAACACCTGTTTTGTTGCCAGAAAAAAGGGGAAAACCTATTCTCATATTTTGGTCATGAAAATGTTGTTTTGCAATTTCAAGATTTGCAGCAATTATACTCATTTTGTGGGGGAAAGGCTACGTGCGATGCAAAAGAAGTCCAACATATATATACATAAATTGTCCCATATAGTCAACAAACACAATGTAAACGGAGTCGTATTTAATCGTAAAAGCAATGGATGTGGTTTCCATGGAGACAGCACCAGAAAGTGTCTCGAGTTGCCTTGTGAGAGCTGCCATCACCACATCGTTCTCCACCACATAGCCCATGTCCTCTACAAGGTCCTCTTTGTCGAATGTGATGAGGGCATCTGAGCAGGCATCCCAAACCTACCAGTGGAGGGAGGTTGAGGAAAAAGGAGATCTAAGGACAACCTGCATCATTATCATCATCAACATGACATCAATTAATTCGTGACCCAGCAAACGCTGAATATGTTTTTTATATTAGCAAGTACTCTTGGAAGCGATTTATAATGGCTACTGCTAAATATAGTTTTGTTTATTTTTTAAGACAACTTCCAAATAACAGCTCCTGCTGTGAGCTCTTTAAATATACAATCATGTATCACTGACTGAACATATTAATGCACCTGTCCTTCGAAGCCCTGTGGCACTTACCTGCATTCTTTTAAAAGCCTTGCTTCTCATGTCGCACACATGATCCCAGGCTCCGACATCTGCAAAGCGAAATGTGGTAAACAATATGTAACTTATACTCTAAAATCTCAACGAATGGGTTAGCAGACGTGTATTAATGCATGAGAACAGATTAAGCTCAGGATACATGTGTAGTGAGTCCAACTGAGTCGCAGACGTTGTCTTGGGAGCAACACTTTATTTAACAACTTTACATTACATCTCACAATCTACACTCGGGTATCGAATGCCCATCTAACCACGCTACGGTAGAACTAGACATGGTTCACTTACCTGGCCCGGACCACAAGCTGGGTCCCGGACCGCGTGGCTAGAGGCTTCTTCTCCCCGACGTGGATCTTCTTGACACCAGCACACAAAGAACCTCGAGCTCCTCACGGGGCCCCCGTTATATCCCCCTGGGCTGGAGCTGGCTCCGCCCTTCGCCCCACCCACCTTCCAGATCTCTCCAGCTCTTTCTCGAAGGCTCCCGAGAGCTCTTTTAGACCACGTGACCGCCAAGCGGCCCCCGTCCACCAATGGCCCCCTCCAATATCATCCGGTCAAGTGTCAGTAGGTCAACCAGCGTATCATGCTCCAACGTAACCCTGGCTGGCTGGCGCTCCCTCTCGCTCCTTCACCGAGAGCCCGCACCGCACATTGTACGTGGTGCCTCTGCGCTGACCAGCGCTCACCCAAGCCCCGCTAGGGCTGGTACTGCGCCCCGTAAGCGGGCTACACATGTCAGCACATTATCCGCCGTGGCTTCGTAAGCCCGGCACCACACAGTGACAATCACAGTCACTACAAATGCATCGAATCATCTACGAATGGATATATTTCGATTCGCACATCTTGCAATAAGTGTACATTACCTCTGTAGCCACCAGTGACCACATTTAAATTCACCACGTAATTTTATTATTATTTTTCAACCTAATTCTTACCCCAAATCATGACAATCGTTTAACCTACTCTGTAGGTTATCACGGTTATGCTATACAGTAAAACCTTGGATTGCGAGTAACTTGGTCTGCGAGTGTTTTTCAAGGCGAGCAATTTTTTTAAATAAATATTAATTTGATAAACGAGCGAGGTCTTGCAATACGTGTAGTACGCATACACTTTGTCTGCCGAGCGTCACGTGATCACAACTGATATACGAGTGCTTTGATATACGAGTGCTTTGGATTACAAACACGTTTCCGGAACGAATTATGCTCGCAATCCAAGGTTTTACTGTATAGTTCTCCAAGGTTGTACCGTGTTGTTCAGCATGTATGACATTGACCCTCCTGGGCGGATGGACGAGGTGTAACCGGTACACCCCTAAGCTCCGATCAGCACCTCCAATTAGCACTGTGGAATACGTATGGTGTGAAAGAAGTTCTAAAAACATACACATAGTTTGCCTGGCTGTGGCAATGGCGGCGTGCGTCTCTTACGGTCAAGCAGCGTGATGGATCCTGGGCTGAGGGTGCTCACACGGTTGCTGTAGGTGGGAGGCAGGGTTCCAAATTGCTTGGGCTTTCCAGCTTCCAGGAGGAGAATCCGCTTGTCAGATAGCACCGGATCAGTGCCTGCCAGTGAGAGTTGGTGTTAAGATGTGTAGTATTGCATGTAACTTTTGTTAATTTTAAAGTGTGTTTTATTACTGAGACTAGTAGCCCACAAATCCTTTCGACGTGACCGTCCGTATCTCCCTTCCCTCCAGCCAGCAAAACCTTTTCCAAATATAGTATAATAGTATGAGTGTATCTCGCGCATTTGTGGGGGATACACGGCCGGGGTGGGTAGGGGTTGGGGAGAGGCTGGCTAACTGGCTGCTTGAATCCGGCTCAACACTTTGTGATGCGGGAGATGTCATCACGCAGATGTGCGAGTTGACATCGCGACCGTACACGCGCATTTGCGCGCCAGCCAGGCAGGAATCCACGCAGGAAACCAGCTAGCATTTTTTTCTAATATAGTATTACGATATATTTGGGATTCCATGGCCACAGTCAGACTACTGTAGCTTATATTTCCATTTATGAAGGCGATGTTGATGCTCTGATTCAGTTGATTGTTACACCAGTGTCTTTGAAGAGGACTGTCTGAGAGCCAAGAGGTGCGATTTTTGGTTCTATAATTAGGTATTTTATTCTGGATGCCCGCGGACTTGCAATTTATCTCAAATGCAATAATGGGGCGACCGTTATAGCGAATGCATTAACTACTCTATTAACACATTGACATGGGTCATTATCAGCCCATGGAGCAATGAGCCAGTGGAGCCAGCGATCCATTCAAGTCCGATGAAATGTTCGTACAACACCACATTATGGTCCATTAAAATATTTTTGTAACGCACATCCGTAAGCGTTATACTGCATATCCAAACGTTTATACCAAAGCCAGCAATCCCTAACCTAATTGACCTGCTGGTTGATGGCATACAATAACTTGAGCGATACAGAAATGTTACCTTAATAAAATATATTTACATTGCACACTGTCGGAGTTTAGCTGAGTGTGCAATGTAAGTCAGCGTGACCAAAGTGAAATCACTTAAAAATATTTGCATACCCGTCAACCCATACGGTTTACCCGTAATCTTAAACAGGGAAATTTAGTTTTCAGATCCATACGGCGTTCAGCCGTTTCAATACAACAAAAGCATTGTCTATTTGTGTTTATCCCTTGTGATGGGACTGTAGGATGAACGTTGAGATGTATAAGGACACTGGGTGACCAATAAGGTCTGAATTGGTCTCTAATAAGGGGCCGTTCATAAATGACGTCACGCGATTTTGGACGATTTTTGACACCCCCGCCCCTTCGTCACACGACGTCACAAAAAGTCAGACACCCCCCCCCTCAAATATGACGTCACAAAGCTCTGCCCCCCCCCCCCAATTTTTTTACATGCTTCAAATCGCTTTAAACTATTGTCATTGTAGTGCGTATTTAATGTGGCGCTGCACTCTGATGTTGTAGGAGAAAACATTTATTAAAAAGTCTATTTAATTAAGTAGAACGTGTGTGTCTATATGTATTTAAAGTTGCGCATTTTGATGTGACGTCACATTTCGCACCCCCCCCCTCGTCACACATCGTCACAAATGTCTGACCCCCCCCACCCCCAAGGTGCGTGACGTCATTTATGGACGGCCCCTAAGATGAGCATTTATAAGTGTATAAGAATAGTTTTTTTTACCCTTTCTGGCAACAAAAACAGGTGTGAAGATGTTCAAACACCAAAACATAAACATTTTGCGAGGACTCGCGTGTGCGTGTTCACCGCACGTACTTGCGGTGAACATGCACGCAAAAAAAAACACAACATGCATCTGGTAACATTATGCGTTGCCTTTGAAACGGATCATTGGGACAGCTGTGAATTTGTATCGAGCAAAAGCAGCCGACCTCTGGCACTTGCCGGCTGCACCGCGACGCCCTCCTGAAGCCGGCGCGGCCATCTTACCACGGGGCGTGAGAGAAAGCCACGTGGGCCCAACCTCGACTCGAAAAAACCGCGTACCGTCATCAAAACAGATAAAAACCCTCCCAAGCGCATTCAACTTGCGCTCAAAACACACGCGGGCGTTGTTTCCCTCCCCCCCCCCCGACACAAATGCGCCCGATCACTCTTCGGCGACGCCGCACCGCCTGTACAGTACAGCACTGCAACACACCTCCCCCACCCCCCCTAGGCAAGTTGGCCGCAGAGCATCTGCCGACGAGGGCCCGCGCGCAATGCAGGCGGTGGCGGTCGCGACGCGTCGGACAGCCAGGCCTCTCTCACCGAGCGCGCACGCCAGCGCCGTGCCCACCATTCCGCCGCCGGACACCACCACGTCGTAGCAGGGCTCCACCTCGTCCCCGTGGTGGCACGCCGTCTCCGCCGCGTGCCGTCGCCCCGCGCAGAGAAGCCGCGGCAGAGTTCGCGTCCAGGCGCTGCGCATCGCGCCCCGGCACAAGGGCACGGAGGCCGCCATGAGGACAGCGGAGAGGGGGGGGGGGGCGTAGAGCGCCCCCGAGTGGCGGCTGCGTTCACCGGGGCACCAGCCCACCCACAGCCCACCCAACACCCCCCACACCCCATCCACAGCCCACCCAACACCCCCCACACCCCACCCACAGCCCAACCAACACCCCCACACCACACCCCCCACAACCCACCCCCACACCCCACCCACAGCCCACCCAACACCCCCCACACCCCACCCACAGCCCAACCAACACCCCCACACCACACCCCCCACACCCCACCCCCACACCCCACCCACAGCCCACCCAACACCCCCCCCACACCACACCCCCACACCACACCCCCACACCCCACCCAACACCCCCACACAGCCCACCCAACACCCCCCCACACCACACCCCCACACCCCCCACTACCCTTATCAGTGCCCTACTTTATTTCGGACCAATTCACACCTTATTGGTCACCCTGTGCCCCTTATAAATCACGACGTTCGTGCTACAAAGTCCCATCACAAGGAAGAAAGACAAATAGACAAAAAACATTTGCACGTATTGAAACGGCTGTACGCCGTATGAACCGTACGCCGTATGAACCTTAAAACGCAATATCTTTCTACAAGAATACGGGTAAACCGTATGTGTTGACATGTATGATATAATATTGGTTCTGTCCGTAATCTCACGTTGAAGGGAAACAATACATAATAAAAATATAAAACAATAAAATTCTCACGACGTTTAGACTGCAACACAAGCAAACATCATCAGGTGTGAAAACCACAGCAAGACAATTTGAAAAAAGTGGCGGTTTTTTAACGTTAGCACCACGGAGAGCGATTTGGCAGTTATTCAGATGGACGAGTCCATCTACGTTCGGAAAAGAGGAGGGGGGAGACGAAAACAATGGATGCAGTCTGAAAGCCACCGTAATCGCGAACAATCAATTAAGACCCGAAATGGTTTATCAAATCCTTCCAATGATTGCTAAGCCAGAATCCATCTTCTCGGTTGAAATTGTCTCTGTGTTTGTATATGTATGATATCTCTTTAGAATTTAGTTTTTTTTATTATTTGAGGCGAAGAGGGGATTGATTTAACCCGGTGAGCAATCGCGAATGCTCATTGTGTATGTATAATTCTTGCCATTGCCAGAAACAGATTTTTTTATTTTAGATCTTCAATCCTCTGAAGAGAGGGGAAAGCACTGGAAGCAAACCCCAACACCACCACCACATTATTTGGTGACATTACGTTGGCAGTGGTGTTCGAGTACAAATAACAAATAAATGAACACATTCGTCATTCACGATGTGGCCTTATATATACATATACTCCTCTACTTACGAACACTCGCCTTACAAACTTTCAGAGACACGAACAAACCTGTCCGTATGTCCAGTTGCCTGTTCGGACCGAGAGTCGTAAGTTCAACCGCCAGGCAATATATGGCGGTAGTGGCATCTACATCAGCAGAACATGAATAACCAGTGGCATCTGCAGAACGTGAAGAACCAGTGGCATCTGCAGAACGTGAAGAACCAGTGACATCTACATCTGTAGAACATGAAGAACCAGTGGCATCTGCAGAACGTGAAGAACTAGTGGCATCTACATCCGTAGAACATGAAGAACCAGTGACATCTACAGAACATGAAGAACCAGTGACATCTACATCTGTAGAACATGAAGAACCAGTGACATCTACAGAACATGAAGAACTAGTGGAATCTACATCTGTAGAACATGAAGAACCAATGACATTTACAGAACATGAAGAACCAGTGGCATCTACATCTGTAGAACATGAATAACCAGTGGCATCTACAGAACATGAAGAACCAGTGGCATCTACATCTGTAGAACATGAAAAACCCGTGCCATCTACAGAACATGAAGAACCAGTGGCATCTGCATCTGCAGAGAGTGAAGAACCAGTGGCATCTACATCTGTGGAACATGAAGAACCGTGGCATCTACAGAACATGAAGAACCAATGGAATCTACATCTACAGAACATGAAGAACCAGTGGCATCTACATCTACAGAACATGAAGAACCAGTGGCATCTACATATGTAGAACATGAAGAACCAGTAGCATCTATATCTTCAGGAGGTTATACAACTTTTAAAGCCATTCCCCGTATTTAGTGTACACGCCGTACAACGTGTTTGGAATCGATCGGAGTAAAGTTGAACTTACGAACAGATCTCTGGAACCTAACTCGTTCGTAAGTCGAGGAGTCCCTGTGCTGTCATCGGCGACGTATCGGGCAATGGCTCCTCAGTATTACTAGCCCCTCCCCCTCATGTGTAACCCCGCCCCATCGTAGCTAGCCCCGCCCCCATCGTAGCTAGCCCCGCCCCCTCCGCCGCTAGCTCCGCCCCCACCCACCCCCGGAAGTGGTCGCCGAGAGTCGCGAGGTTGGCCATGAAGTCGTCGGCTGCCGTCTCGGGCGACTCCGGGTCCGGGTCGAGCCCTCGCCGCTGGTCACCCCGTACCGGCCCGGGGTCAAGGGAACCCGCTTGGGACATCAGTGAGGATAACGACAGCGACGACAGCAACAACCCATGGATTCAGCAGCAGGTACAGACGTGCGCCCCGCTGAGACTTCACGAACCAAGTGGGCTCTTTTAACTCACCACTGTTGCTGCCTTTGATATATGAACGACTGTCGTGGCTTCTGCTGTCCTTCGTCTCATCGCTCGTGGTCCCAGTGTCATGTCGCTACTGCTCTGGGTCTCGTCCGCGTTGGCGCGGGTTGATTGCCTCTTCCCCCTTTTGGGTCCCACAATTCGCGTTGTTTACGGTTGCCGTGGCGATGCTGAGCCTTCACCGAAGGCCTCAAAATATACATGGGAGAATGATGCAGCTTCAACATTAAATGTCTCATCGGGTAGCCGCACACAGAGGCTGTGCGTGTGGAGTTGTCAGACACGAGTTAGAAGCTTCGTCAGAAGGAAAAAAAACAATTTTGAGTTTTATCGAGATTTTATGGCACTCTACTCATTTTGTGCTCATTGTTTACATTCGCTGCTTCGGTGAATACGTGTACAGTGATTAACAGGTCAATTAAAGATCATACCTGGGTTCTTCCTGAAAAGAGATTGACGTTTCAACTGAATGGCCTTCCTAAGGAAATTACAATTTTCTTCCACGAACAGAAAGTTAATTTAAGAGGGCCAACCCGCAGAAAAGTTTAACTATCTCTCAGTGACAGCTAATAACCGCCTGTTACTTTTAATTAACCTCATATTTGTCTTGATTCGGGAAATAAAAAGACGTTAGTTTTTTCTTCATTCAACAGTGAATATACAAATGGAAAATGATTATTATAGAGTCAGAAAATGTGGCTTCCAACGGATAGTATTCTCCCACACAGAGCACCAGGAGAGACCGGGCCACAAGTGTGGAGGACACCTTCATTACCAGGAAACTGCTGGACTCGCTGCTGACAGAGGCGGTGAGTGAGCATTCCAGTGAGACCTTCGCCTTCAAGCTGCAGGAACTGCAGACGCTGCAGGGCAGGCAGCTCGCGCGTCTGGAGGCTCTGAGCCGTGAGCAGGGACGCCGAGGCTTCAACGGTCAGGCCACGGCCACACCTCGTCATACAGGCGATGAAGGCCATCGCCAAGGCCACGACGGTTGGGGGCAGGAGGCCAAGAAGGAAGGAGAATCTATCTGCTCTCGAGACCCACAAAGTCCTCGCGCCAGGTGCTCAGTGGCCCACGAGTCAGAAGACGGTCTCAATGAGTTTATGCTGGGATTGGCATTTGGGGTGAACATTTCTGGCACCAGCAGTCACAGGTGATTGAATAGCTTTACATGTTACTGCATCGATATATTTACGCTCGTGTATTGATGTATCTTTTCAAAAGAATGTTGCATAATGTATGCGTAAGGCCGTTTTGTGAAAAAAATTGCTGTTTTTATGCATTGTCATTCTTGCAGATTCCAGCCGGAACTGCCGAGAGAAAGCTCATCCCTACACGATGACGCTCGGTGGAGCAGCCATTCGTTGGAGGGAGGGAGCAGCTCAGATGAGCATGGAGAGGACCTGAATGTGAAGCGCCGTGCTGAAGGCAGAGACGGTGTTCCTTCGCTTCTCCACCACATGTGGGAGGGGTTCAGCGTCGATGATTACGCGCCCTGCGAGAAGCCAGAGCGTGTCCGAACCACGTCCGAGTCGTCTACATCAGTGAGTACAAAATCTGCTGCAAAGGTATCGTGCAACAAGCACAGAAAATTACATCTTCAAATATGTTGTTTAATTGAGTGGAAAATAACTTTTGACATCTTACATAAGTATTCAAAGCAGAGATTTTATGAGCGTTTTGAAATCATCTGCCAGAAACCGATGGAGTGGACACCAAAAATCACGATACCCGAGCCCTTCGGTATGACGGTTCGGGAGGAGGAGAGGAGGCGGCACGGGGTGAAGTCTCGCTCGGCCCGTCGTCTGGAGAAACTCGTGCAAGAGCAAAAAAAGCAAGAAGCGGAGCTGGAAGCCCTGAGAAAGAAACAATTCCGAGCCACTCCGGTGCCAGCTCACACTTTTAAGCCGCTGTTCACTGCGATGCACCAAGACAACCGCCAACCAAATAAAAAATCTAACACAGCCTCGCGGGATGACAGATCAACGACAAAGATGCAGCAGGCAGAGGTGACGGGCAAAGGAGGAGACACAGGGGAGCAGCGTGGATTTAAGGCCAAGCCTGTGCCACGCAGCGTGTACGACCCCGCAGTTGCCGAGCGGATCAGGGAGGAGGAGCTGTACCGGCGAATTCGCATGCGCGTGCGAGCAGACGAGACCCTGAGAGAGTCGGCGCTGCCGGGCGGCATGGCTCGCCGTGCAGCCTCTACCAAGAGGGCTCGTCATGCCTGCTACACAAAAAGCAAGCAGAGGGACCAGTCCAAGCCCTCCATTCCAACAGCAGCCAGTTCCATACAAATACACAGGTAATATATATTTAGTTCACCTTGATGTCCACACTCCTATAATTGTAATTAATAACATCTAATTATTGTGCATTGATTGGAATATTTGGCCTGTATCCATAGACGGCTTTGTAATGGTTAACCTGAATGACCCCACACATAAGCCAGCTGTTGACGTAATGCAGAACGTTTAGTCAACGAATTCATGGCTCTACCTTGTGCAGGGAAACTCCTAAGGATCTGCTCCAGAAGAATAACTTCAGTGAAGTGACCATAGGTCACAATGGCAACACTCGAACGGAAACTCTCGTGGGAGCCCACATGCCGGGCGTTCACATCGTGTTTGAGGAGGAGAGTCAGGACGACTCCGATTCAGGACGTCGGTCGAGGTACACAACATGCTTCTGGTTCATGCCTTATGACAGTGATCCCTCAACTTGTATTACTGACAATGTTATTCAACAAACAGATTACATTTTTAGATGCTAAAAGAAGGGTTATATGGCGTAAATATGTGTCGTTAAAACCCGCCACCACCCGACATGTTCGGTTTACGTGACAACCCTTACTAGTTGGTTGTATCTGGTGGTGGAGGGTTTTGACAACACATTTGTATATTTACGCGATATAACCCAAAAAAACCCGATGGTGGAAGTATAGCCATTGTTTTCCTGTCACTCACTGGTGGTGGACGTTTTGGCCAACTGTTTTCAGGAAATATTTAAGTTTACATTCAGTCTCAAATGTGCTGCAGTCAAGTTGGATGGTGAGTGATGTCACTGAGGTGTCATGGATGAGTGATTGGAATTTGAGAAATGTTGAGTACATATATGCAGTTTTAAGTGATGTGAATTTCAAAAGTTTGCGTAAAAAGGCAAACACAAAATATAAAATACTATTATCCCTAGCTTTTGCAGACTTTTAATTGTATCGTTTGCTTCGGTGGAAACTTAATGCAGTGAACCACAAAGTCTTGTTCAAAATTATTGTGATTCAAAATACTTTGATCTTACAGAAAAATTCAGTAACTTAATGACTGTTTGAAGTGAATATGGGTGTGAATGCACTATTTCTGGTCCCAAGTGTGATTTTATGTTATGTAACCCACTCAACAGTGCATCGTCATCATCCAGTGTGGCAGATGACCCCACGCAACACGGGGGACCCGCACAGCGTTGGCCCCTCACTCCCTCGCAGGGGGGTGGTGGAGTGCGGGTTGGATCCCGGTCCCGTGGCGTGGCCAAACACAGGGACAAGCGGAATTCATTGTCGCTCAGTGATGAGTGGGACAGCGACTACACTGAAGACCACAAGAGGTTTGCATGAATAGAAACGGAGCTTTATGTGTGTTCTGAAGTTTGGTGACTCACATTTAAACTAAACTATATCTATTTTACCAGGTAAGGCCCACTGAGCTATGTAGCTTTTTTTCAGAAGCGACCTGGCCACAAATGATAGTTCAACGAAGTGGCTTATAATGTGGAAACTTAGAGCAGCCAAATACTCTCAACGTATAAATGTGGAGGGAAAAAAAACCTGTGTACCAGGCGTGATAGTTAACATCTCGGCAACAGATTTAACTGAAATGTATTGCACTGGAGAATCTCAATTACTGAAGAATTACTGTCGGTACACCTGTAAATGTTGTGGCTTTGCTCTCCAATACACCAGTGTGCTGTACTAGTAATGAATTGTCATGTTCTGTTCACGTGACAAACCTTACTAATTGGCTGTGTCGGGTGGCGGCGGGGTTAACGACACATATTTACGTGATCTAACCCAAAAAACGATATTATGGATTTCATGACCTTGTCTACATTTCTGCAGATTTGGTAAAACATGAAATAATGGACCAAAGGGGAGTTTGACTACCATTAACCCCGCATACAAGTAATGTCTAAGCCTCCCTTATCTCGGGAATATTCGTAACCCCTGTACAAAAGCAGTGGAATTGTGCAGTTTTTTTTGCAGTTTCGTTTCATTGGTTATATTGCACTTTTGTTTGATTGGCTTCAAGCGAGACTGGTACTGCATCGTGTGTGCACACAGGGTCACACGGACCGAAGGAAGAAAACAAAGAGGCCAGCTCGGATTCCACCCCTCCCAGAATGAGCGCTCCATCTCTTGGGAGGATGGATATTTACGCAAGGACATAAGACAATGACATCCAGAAAAAAAATATTTCCCGTACAGTTAGAACAGTTTCTTAGCTGGTCTAAAATGGTATCATCCATTATTTTACAGTTTTTTTGAGACAGCAAGTTGAATTGCGTGGTTGCCGTTGGCAACCTTGCTGTATGCTTAAAATTTTCAACTAAAAAGCTTGAGTGATGAACAGCACTGACAGACGCATTACACCTGATGTTGGTGAGAACTTAGGACGTGTGTGTCGCCAACATTGGTGGACGTTTGGAGGTTTATGGATACAAATCGTAGGAAATAAATCTTCATCCTACCAAGTCAGTATGCGTGTGTATAGTTCAATTGACCTTGCTCAAAATGTGTTAAATTATAATTATTTAATAGCGATGATGATTTGTTTTTAATATTGTGCCGGGGCATCAAGGTCACCCTTTATTTTTGTAATTAGAAGTGAAGTTTTATATGTGACGATGGGTAAAAGTACACCAAATTTAATGGTGCTCAAAAACAACCTGCGTACACTATTTAAATTGTTTTGTATTTCAAGATTTTTGTCAAATGCAATTTTACAGATTGGTATTAACATTCCACGTTAATTTTTGTGCTCAATGTTTGTCAACACATTATATATTCATCTATCTTAGTATCTTAGCAATCTGTGAAATTTAGCAATGAAGGTAAGCAACTTGTCTTCACAAATTGTGCTTGCAGTGTACTTTGTACAACGTCTAACACAAAGATACAAAACACATTGTTGGTCTGTCTCTTTTTATCCAGTGTTGGATTACAGAGTCGTTTAATGCAGCTGCATCTGCAAATAGATACGTGAATCACGGGCAAAGGATAAGTGTGCGTTTATATACAGTAAGTTGTATGTGTGTAGTAGGCAGTAGCGTAACAAGCGTGGGGGCAGGGGGGGGCCTTTGCCCCCCGCCCCCCGTCGCCAAAGCTACGAGTTGAGGCCCCCCTTGACAACCACCACGAAATATGTTTTCAACAACAGTGCAAAGGAACAGCAAAGGAACAAAACCTTATTTAAAACGCGGTTCAAATTTATTTACATGAAAATGCTTTCATTTACGATTAATGTTTTGATTTAATTAGAGCAGTAATGTTATATTGCAAAGGGGTGTGCTGCGGCGCTGTAGTGGCTGCATTCTGCGAAGACGGAGTGCCCCTACAGCGTTCAAGACCGTGAGTGTAACGACGATGTGGTTGGGCAAGAGGAGCGGCAGCATTTTGCCTCCGTGAGACAAATTAAATATTAGGGGCCCCACCTGACCGATGGCCGCACCCCCTGAGCTAATAATAATGTCCTTACTACGCCACAGGTCATAGGCACAAGAGGAGGAAGGTCGTGGACCTTGAACAGGGGTAGAAGGTCAACATTACAAGAGAGAGGTCGAGATTACGGGAGCCAGAGGAGAGAGTGTGACTCTTCAAAGATTGGGGTCCTGGTTGTTGGAGCAGAGAACAACTATATTCCGTGTAAACTATTCCTTCAGGTGTAAATAAGAAAACCCACACCGATGTTTATAATACAGTCTTTCCATCACCATTTTAATGTCAAATGAGTAGATGGCAGTTATCACTTTTTGCACTTCATAAATTCCAAAGTTCACATTAAAAAAAAGTTATTTTCTTTAAAAAAAAGCCAGAAACATTCAACTGTTGGGTGGTCTTATTGACTGCACGCTCCTCAATGCTGCCATGGACATGACGCAGTCACCATTGGCTGTGGAATTCTATTTGCACAGTTGTCCTGATCGTTTGCGTAACTTACATAAGTATTGGTCAAGAAAAGGACTGGGAAATATTGTATACAGTACCTTTACGCATTCAGCAGATAAAGCTATTGACATTTCGGTATATAAATGTAATTGACCGATGTCATTAGGGACCGTACATAAATGACGTCACGCACCTAGGGGGGGGTCGGACATTTGTGACGATGTGTGACGTGGGGGGGGGTTATAAATGTGACGTCACATCAAAATGCGCAACTTTAAATAAATATAATAAATATAGACAACATGTTCTACTTAATTAGACTTTTTACTAATTTTTTTCTCCTACAACATCAGAGTGCAGCGCCGCATTAAATACGCACTACAATGACAATAGTTTAAAGCGATTTGAAGCATGTTTTATTTTCAAAATGGAAATATGGTTTTGGGGGGGGGGGCAGAGCTTTGTGACGTCATATTTGAGGGGGGGTCTGACTTTTTGTGACGTCGCGTGACGAATGGGGGGGGGGGGTCAAAAATCGTCAAAAATCACGTGACGTCATTTATGGACGGCCCCTTATGTAAAATTAAACAATGTCCATCAGGACCACCAGGTAGCGCACCGGAGCGTGTTGAGAATGCTGTTTGGCCTGGCGTTTCCCACAGTGAATGCCATCCCCTGTGTGTGTTCGCCAGGCCTTGCAGAGTGGTTTATTTAAATCTGGAAGAGCACTCCTTCCTGTACCATAGTGGCGCTCTGCTTTCGACTTCAGAGACGCTAACATTTCTACCTAAGGGGCCCGTCCATAAATGACGTCACGCGATTTTTGACCCCCCCGCCTAGTCACACAGCGTCACAAAGAGTCAGAAACCCCCCCTCAAATATGACGTCAAAAAGCTCTGCCCCCCCCCCCCGGTAAAAATAAAACATGCTTCAAATCGCTTTAAACTATTATCATTGTAGTGCGTGTTTAATGTGGCGCTGCACTCGGATGTTGTATAAAACATTTATTAAAAAGTCTATTTAATTAAGTAGAACGTGTTGTCTATATTTAAAGTTGCGCATTTTGATGTGACGTCACATTTCTCAAACCACTCCCCCCTCGTCACACATCGTCGATGCTGTATCGAGAGGATCTGCCTCCTGCAGCTGGACCCTGCAGACCGATGTGGTCTGTAACAATTGCATGGGTTAGGGACCACTGTGTGACATCCCTGCTCCACCCAGACCTGGGTGTACAAGTGGCTGATGAGGCTGCACCAGAAAAAATAACACGCGCGACGTGCATGGACGAGTCGGCGCTCTGTCGTTGGCCGACTGACAGAATTCGTGCATTGCTGTGTGTCGTGAACACGCTGGGAGTCGTCCCAACCCAGATATATATTTTTTGGCGCAGTCCACTATAGTCGTGGAGACCGCGTAGGCTCCGCCCTCCTGAGAGTGCCAATGCAGGAGGGTTTGGAGGAGTAGCCACCTGGGCGTTGTCGCACGCTCGGATCAACGTCTTAGCGACTGCTAAAGCGGCTTAAGCAAGGGAGGCTGGGCTGCCCTCTGCTCCGTAGTCCAGGAGCAGCAGCGGTGACACCTCTCATTGGCTTTGGTAGGCATTCCAGACAGCCAGTTACAGCTGCTGGGCTGCATGGTCACACACGACTTTCAGAATTGGTTCTCATGTAGCAGATGGATTTGTGTAGGCATAAAAAAGCTACACAATGTCAGCATCACAGCACTGGGTGGTGGGAAGAGTTCAATTGTAAATCCTTGATAATGCTGTAGAAGAGGATTACCAAGGTGGGCGGATAGATGATAATAATGTGGGAGAAATATACCCCTGAAAACCACACTGTAAAAATACACCTGTGCTGGGATCTATTTTCACGTTTGATTTGGTACGTAAAGTGGGAGGCGTGGGTGAACGGCCTTTCAGAGAGGAAACTCTCAACCCTGACCTGGTAGACACCCAGGGACTATACTTGCTGTCAGTTATAGACCGAGGGTCCTGCTAAGGCCTACGCAAATCAATATTTACGTGAGCATTACATGTTATGTTTACCAATACAGTAATTATGGTAAATTATCAATTTCTCTTGGTAATGTTTCATGTTCACTCGGTGCAAATGCAAGCAGTACAATGTAAATAATAATTGTGTATGACACACCACAACTTGCAAACATGGGGCTCTGTGAAATAAAAACACACTTTAAAAGGACAGGTTGCAAAAACCTGCTGTCATTGTGCAATACGTTATGTCTGCCAAAAAACACAGAACAGTGGTCAAAGTTTACACAGTTTCTACTTATCCTGCAGGTAAACATCTACTGACACGATGCTGACGCGCATGTCAATGTACAGGCGTAGCAATAGCATGTATGGATGTAAACAAACGTTATACCAACACAAAAGTGCACGTATGAACGTGAAGGCTGCGTTCGAGCATGACCACTTCCGTCGGTCACGCGACGGCCCAACACCCGGGGTGCATGCCGCTGCATGGCACCCATGTCCCACCATGCCACCAGCATCGACCAGCAGCGGTGACATTGGCCGCCACATGAGCAAGTGACCGGGACTCTGTGCCCACGGTTTTACTGGGCCTCCGAGCAATCGGGTATTTGGTTCTGGGTTCATTTCACCATCGGGACCCCTTCGAGTTACCAAGCAGCACATTTTTTTTCTACCTCTTAGCTTTTCTGCAACATCTTTCTAAAGATTCCTTCAGCACACCTTCCGCTCTGGAAAGTTAACCAATCCGGATTTTTTGCATCCAATTGTAATGACAGGAGAGTCAACATACGGTGTGAGTGGACTAGTGGCCACAGGAGGTAATGACAGGGGAGTCAGGCTGCAGTACGAATGGACTGGTGGCTACGCGAATGGTCGAGAATAGGAGCGTGGCCAGGTGACGGAAGAGGACAGTGGAGTCTGCTGGAAGAGCGAGCGGTCTAGAACCAGCAAGAAGGTTCGGGAATGGGGGGCGTGGTCTCGGACCGTATATAAGGGAGATGCGCGGGAGATTCGGGGCTGTTGCAGTGGAGGGTCTCCGCCTGTCCGAGTGTGAGCACGTGGCTCCTTAACAAAGAAACCATCTCAAGACAAGTGCGTCAAAGTCGTCATTAAACTATGATTTGTGGCAATTAGACTTGTGTCCTCCTGAACCTGCTCTATTACTCTATCCATCCAACCGATTTTATCCATTGGATTCCCGTGCCCACAACTCGAGATTTACCAGACTTCCCACCAGACCCGCGGTCAATTATCTTAACCACAGCAGCAAATACAATTACAACTGTAATCGACCCCAGCTCTGCTTCCAAAAGTCCTCCATTCTCATCGTTTGTGCCGAATATAACACTACACTCAACAATACTTGGGGTCTTTACGCACACTCAGCTGGGCTCACTGAAGAAGGAGCTCTTAAGTTAAACCGCGAGCGTGGTCATGGACTTTGGGACCGCATCACCGGGCGGGTGCCCAGTCGCCCGGTGGCCAGGTGCCAACGATTCATCGCGTCTCTCAGTCGTGCTGCGCAGAATGCACGCCGCAGCGCTGCAGGGTGCGGCGCACGTGCACTGTGGCCTCTGGCGCGAACCAGCGGCGCGTGTACATGATGCTCATCACGTCCAGCAGCAGGTTCCTCTCTCGCCGACTGCGGGGGGAGACCACATGGCAACAGGGGTGAGCAGCAGACGCCAGGATTCAGTTGGATCTTTTGAAGGGGGCATGGGGTGGTGGCGCGCTGGTGAGCTTACTGTGCCATGAACCCCCAGAGTCCCGAGTTGAATTCCCAGCCACGGCTAACGTCAGTCAGCGGTGAGCGATATGTGAACCGGTACTGGGTAGTACAACGCCACTTCACTTACTCACACTGACCAATCGACTGCTAGATAAAGGCCTCCCAGCACCGTGTTGGTAATGGTGGTTGTTTAAACGCATTTCACCACGCTGGTCACCGTGGACTGGAGAAGACAACAAGGTGACTGGGAACCGAACTGAGGTCAGCGGGTTCAGAGCGCAGTGCATTAACCACTGCGCCACTGCAACCATTCAATGTTTTGATATTTAATAATAGCATCTTTCTAGGAAGAGTCCTACTTACGGATCTAAGTATACTCTATATAATATTATTATAGACTTGCAATTACATTGAGTTTGTGCTAAAGGAATTCAATCAAAATGAAGGCATCATTCGTGAGGCCTCCAAGAGTAGGCCTACACCAATGCATCACTTCGTGAATTAAATTATATTAATCATTGGTTTTTCGGTAAAGTCACGTATGTAGAAATACCATAAAATTATATTAAAATAAATCAATCACGACGTTTCGACCGCAACACAAGCGATCTTCATTAGGTGTAAAAAAACAAATAGCGAGGGAGCATATAGGGCGACACCAACGCAATTTGTTTTTTTACAGCTGATGAAGATCGCTTGTGTTGCGGTCGAAACGTCGCGAATGATTTATTTTAATATAATTTTATGGTATTTCTACATACGTGACTTTACCAAAAAACCCAATGAGTAATTTATGCAGTCACGAAAGCTTAATTCTTTATTAAATTATATTCTTAAACTCACAGTGCAATTTGTGCAGATTATATGGAAATGCTGTGCTGTTACATCAAATCACAGGGACCGTGTGGTTGGCTCGTGCGTGGACAGGGTTGGTATGCAGGCCAACTCATGTGTGGCTGACTCGTGGGCAGGCTGGATCATGCGTGGCTTACGTTTGCCTTAGGGCTTCCCGGGCACGGCTCAGCTCCTCAAGGTAATCACCCTCCTCCATGTAACTCCCATCTTAGAGAAGGCCAGTTGACACACATTACATACACATAGACACCCATGTATATCCATATATAATTCATTAGTACACCTATCTATGCAAATATCTAATACAAAGAGAGATAGATAACGCTGCCCTTTAACAAATGCATGGTGATCGAGACATGCCACGTTTGCCGCATGTGGAAACGGCGCACCCACCTCGTTGACCCAGGTTGGGCTCGGGACCGAGGAATGGCTGCTTGAACGGGTGCGAGTTTGGGGCCCTCTCCACCCGCTCGACCGTCCCTCTCAGCAGAGCGGCCTCGGCACCCAGCTGCGAAACGACGCACACGTGCAGCTCTTCTGTCAACCCACTGCTGGATGAGGGCCTCCCCACGCTGTACAAGCGTGTGTGGGTTAATTGACCAACCTTCACCAAGCTGGTCGGCATGTGTTGGAACAAAATGGATTTTGCGGCACTGCCCAATGCTGCTCGCGACGTAGCCCCGCAGCCACCTATTGCAGCCGGGTGTGCATGGCGGTCACCCAACCAAGCACTATCCAGGCTCAAGCTTGCTTAGCTTCCGAGATCTGATGAGATTAAACTCATTCTTGGTGATGTGAATTCATACATCGTGCGTTATTTAGTGCCCTACCTTCTGCCATTGGCGATGCCATACAGTACTTTACCATACCATACACAACAGTGGTGGTGAAGCTAGCAAAGCAGGGTGTCCAGTAGAAGGCTATAATGGTATGACAATAAAGGTAGTATGGCTTAGATCATTATAAAAATAATAACATTACACATGCCAGCACCAGCCTGTCCTATTAGCAAAGTAAACATGATTTCAGTTAATTTTACAAAACTGCTCATCTCTCAACTAACAGGAGTCAAATACAGTAAAAACAAATCTTAAACCCTTTAAGATTTAGCATGGTATACATTTTTGTCAGTTTTTTCCTAGGGTAAAGGTCGTAGACTCTTCATCATCAATACCATATATACCTGGTTCCTTCCGGTAGAAATGAGCCCTTAATCGACTCTGCACAATAAAATAAACTCAAGTAGGTGCCATGACTTGCTGACAGACCGATCCAAAAACATAACATTTCTGATCACGTGTAGATACAATGTACGCTAATACACACCCTCTGAAGACGACCATTCAGCTTTTCAATTTCTGCCAGCAGGATTTCCTGGAAGAAAATGTAACTTTTAGTTTCTTGGGGCGGTAAAAAATAAAAACACGCGGCAATGACAATTTTCTTGGTTCTTTCGGTAAAGTCACGTAGAAGGGAAACAATTATTGTTTTATATTTTTATTATTTTATGGTTTATGAATCCCTGCAGTCACGAAAGCTTTAAATAAAAAATGACAATTTTGTTTCGTCTGACGAAACGTGCTGGGCGAACAGGAGGTTGGGCCCGACCTTCTCCCGTGCGGCGTCGACTTGTTGCTGTCGCATCTGACCTCTGAGCTGGCCGGCCTCAGCCCGCAAGTCCTGCAACTCCTGCAGGAGCCTATTCTGCAGGACACCACAGCGCTGAATGACAACCCGAATCGTCTGTACCGTGCCAAGTTAATATCACTGAGATTCACGTCTCTCTTCCAAGGCGGTCCTGCCCGGGGAGATGGCAGCAATACAACGTTTATTTAGATGTATTTCTTAAGTATATCTATAACAGTGACAAAAAAGCAGCAGACAAAATCAATTAATAATGCATGACAAAGTAATGTATCGTTTAAGATCTTGTTCCCATGAAATAAAATGAATATGGATACTTAATAAATTAAAGATTGGCTGTACACGTCACACACCGCTCAATGTAGTTTCACAAGCGTGCAAATCACAAGTGCAGCTCAGTTCTTATCCGCCATAAGCAGCTCTCAGCCATCAGTGAAAATTACACATTCCTATGGTTGGAGCCTTGTCTCTCCATTGAACTACCTCTTGGAGACTTTGCGCAAAGTGAGACTCATTTTCTTGACCACGCGTTGCATCGAAGTCGTGAGCTTCTGAATGTAAGTCACGCACTCTGCCACAGTGTGGTGCAAAACATCAATGGTGAAACATGCCTCAAGCGAGAAAGCAGCCTGGGCGAAATGTCAACGGGTACGGGCGGGGATCGGGCTAGAGCTAGGGTCTGTTTGGTTGGCTCGCTTGCTTATGGGTAGGACTGGACTAAGGGACTGAATGGCTAGTGTGGTTAGGGTTAAGGCTAGTGTAAGGATGTGGTACCGTTAGTATGGTTAGGTGTAAGAATAGTGTTAGGGTCTGGTTGGCTGCTTCCAATAGTGTTATAGATAAGACCAATGAGTTCGCGAGATGTTAACTACCTCGCCTGGTATACAGGAGCTCGTGGGTTCGATACGGACCCTGACACCTGTATATTTGAAGTTTGCATGTTCTCCCCATCATCGCGTCGATTTTTCTCCAGTTTTTCCCTCCACATTTAGAATAAACATGCGTTCAGAGTATTTAGCTGCTATAAACTTCAACCTGATAAGCCACTTCGTTGAGCTATCATTTTGTGGCCAGGTCGCTTCTGAAAAAAGAGCTAAATAGCTCAGTGGGCCTGACCTAGTTCAGTTTAGTTCAGTTTAGTTTAGTAACAGTCGCTCACGTTGTGGCCTCCACTACCGTGCACGGTGTTTCCTGACGCGCGAAACGTTCCTCTTTATCCGAGCCACTCTAACTCGGTGAGCCTCGTCAAATCCTGCCACTCTCCCTACACCCCCGACCACAGGAGCCCACCACCTCACCTTCTCGCCCTCGAGCGTGGCCAGCTTGCGCCGCTCGCGCTCCCGGGCCTTGCCGAGCTGAGCTCGCAGCTCCTCCAGCTCGGCTGAGAGTCGCTCCCTCTCAAGTCGCTCGCCCCCTCCTCCTCCTCCTGCTGCTGCTGCTGCTGCCGGGCCCGGATCCACGTTCCTCTCGCGCTGGAGCTGCGATGTCAGCTCCTCCACCTCCACCAGCAGCCAGTCCTGCAACCGCAGCCATCGACAGAGTGAGGAGTCCAACTCATCGTATTATTATTGTAAGATGCTCAGGAGCACCGTTGGTGACAGTAAATATAAGCAGAACTTCTGTTCTGCGTTTTGAGATATATGTAAAAAAAGAAATTAACAAAAATGTTTTAGTCCATGGGCCTATTGGTTTTCCAGAAAAAAACTCTCATTCCTCAATAACACTGCCTTATAAGGAAAGGTATATAAGATAAAACATTTCAGGCAATGGCACCATCTTCATAGCACGCCGTAAGATGGGTCATTGCCTGAAACGTTGCCGATTAGAAACACCACTACTCCACACGTACGTGCTGTGTCGACGTCACCCTCCACTACACACAAACATTCATTGGCAACCTGGAAGGTGACAAATCTGCCTCGGGTTTTCCAGACTCAGGCGATAACTTGTGGAGGTGCATTAATTGGCCGTGGCTTCATCATCAGCATCATCAGCAGCAGCTTTCTCCACCAGACGGGCGCTTACAGCCCGCGCAACTTCTCAGGAGAATCATTCTGGTGGAGCCAAAGCACTTTGTGTAGCATCACCATAACCACTGCAGTTTATATTCCATCTATAAAATCAATTTCACTTGCACTCGTCACCTGAGAATAGAAACACCTGAGCCGTAGTTTTTTTTTAATGAAAGGAAGCGAATCACGTAAGTACCTCATCCTGAAATGAATACTGTGATGAAGCTTCGTTGTAGAAATACATCAACAGATAATTGCCTCCTCATTGTTACTAACAGTGAGACGCGCCTTGCCCCATCAATATTATTCAACTACCGCGGACACGAGGACCCTTACTCTCTCTTTCTGTGCGGCTGCCATCGCTCTCTCTGCGGCTTGCGCCTTCTCCTCACAGCCCTGGTGCCGCTCCGCGCTCGGGCCTCTCCTCGCTTGTGCGTCTCCCCGCTCCGGCGCGATCACAGCCGCCTTCGGGCCCCTTCCCTCCGCCCCACGCCCGTCCGCCTGCGCGCCTCGCTCCTCCGCGGCGGAGAGGCTCTGTGCGCAATCCCCATCGCCGGCGAGCCACGAGCGCCGCGGAACGTCGTGGCCCGCGCCGAGCTCCACCTTGGCGTCGTCACCTCCACCACCTCCTCCTCCACCTCCTCCGCCTCCACCACCTCCTCCTCCACCTCCGCCGGCTGAGTCCCCGCGCCCCGGAGCCACGTCCCGGGAGCGGAGCTCCTGCTCCAGCTCAGCCACGCGCCGCTGCAGTGCGTCCCGCTCGCGCCGCGCCTGCACGACGAACTTGTCGTACTCCTCGCGGATTCGCCGCTCCCGCCGGCAGCTCGAACACGGGCCGCTCGCCAGCGTGGTCTGAGACGGCATCTGAGCGCCCTCCGCCGCCTCCGCCGACGCCGCCGCCGCCAGCCGTTCCAGTTTGGCCGGCGGCCGCTGCTCCCTGCCGATTTCGGACGCCTCCGCGGCGGGGCCGAGGGGCGGCCTGCCGCCGGTCGGGAGCCCGCCGCTCCGTCCCTCCGCGCCCGACGCCGTGGGTTTGGGCGACTTTGGGGCCCTCTCAGAGAGCTGCGGCAGGGTCACGCGCTGCTCCCGGAGCTCCTTGCCCGAGTCGTCAGGCAGAAGAGACGGCGGCTGGGCGGAGCGGGTCCGATCGAAGGGACGTGGAGATGGAGCCGGGTGTATCGGAGGGAAGCTGGTGCTGTGCTGCCCGGCTGGTGACAGCTGCAGCGTGCACACATTGTTCATCGTCGTCGTGATCATTCACTTCGTCTGGGTGCATCTCATCGAACACAGTGCTCTACAATGCGCGCCACTGTAAAGTGTGGGTGGGGAACATACATGCAGCCCACATATATGTACAGTACGTTGAACTTCTTTCGCACCGTACGTAGCAAACCGTACTGATCGGAGGTACGGGGGAAGGACAACACACTAAATACAAAAAGCAGTTATAAAGAAATTCGTTTTCAATCTAGATTTAAAAGTGCATAGCTCCAGTAGCTTCCTAATATCGGAAGGAAGAGCCTTCCAGATGACCACAGAAGCGCATCTGAAAGCGCACGACGCGGTGACCGTCTTTGTTCGATGGTCAGCCAAAAGCCATTGCGAGGACGACCTGAATTTGCGTCATGGTTTATGCTCCTTGACGAGATCAGCGAGGTATTGTGGTTCATTTGTGGCAAACATTTTGCATGTAATGAGCGTGACCATGGGCTGTATTCGGTCCGCAACTCCATTTCATACGGCCTGCAGTCACGAGGCCCACCACAGTGAAACGGCAAGCATCTTTGCACCACTAATTGGGTACTACAGGGAATAATTTTCCACCTGGAAACCCTGTGTTTCTAGCACACTGTCACTACTGTCACTACAAGGGCCGTTTGCAAGGGCAGAGAAGTCGGTCCGAATCCTTCATCCAACACATGAAACGTTGCCTCTCTGGCAAGGACAAGTTGAGGTGTGTGTTTAACATGTGGCCCACAAAGGGTGTTTGAAAGTCCTCTTGGGCCCTCAGTAAAGAAAAGGTTCCCCACCCTCCCGTTAAGAGTTAGGCAACCTTACCCTCTTCAGCCCCTGTTCGATGATGCTTATCCCTTCTGCGTCACTCTTGTCTGCTGCTTCTGACGCCTGTCGTACAACGCAGCAAACCATTCACAGCGTCAATTTAAAAACTACGATCGCAGTCCACAAAGGTGTTGAATACAGTATCGTTGTTTTCACACATAAATCACCAAAAACTTAAAAAATGTTTAATGTAGGAAGATGCCGCTGCCTGCAGATGGCGCACCAACACCGTACATGTACCATATTGGTGGTTCCCAGTCTGTGGCCGGCGGAACTCTGTCAGATAGGAAACTTCAGAGTAGTTTTAATTTTGAAATTAATGTTGACAGTTGTCTGCAAAAAAACCCTTCATGGCTTCCAGGGACCTGCGAGTCTAGCAAGCTTGAGAACTGCTGCCACAAACAATCCCATTTGGATCTGCGGTACATAACACCGTATAAGACGTCATCATCCATTACTCATTGCATAGGAGTTTAAATGAATTGCCCCATAATGCGTTCTTGGTAAATGCTATGATTTTAACTCAAGAAGAAATAATTCTCAGCCTCAGGAAAACCAAATGCTTCGCCCCACACACTCGGTGTTGCCACTGATCGGCTGTTTTTGGAGTGGATGTTCTGTTCCGCCCTGTGAAAGTGCTCGCAAAAGATTGATCTGCTTCTGCAGGAAAACTAAAATCTCAGAAACACCGAAATACAGACACACACGATCAGGGGTAACATACAGACATTTTGTCTTTATCTGATCATAAGCGTCATTCAGGGCCCCCTTAGCCCAAGGGTCAGATCAGAATTTGGTTCCATCTGAGGTGGCAACAGTTTAGTGGCATGATTCCTTTATATGACCAAGAGATCTTTTTAATGACCTACACATATTAACGAGTTTTCAAACAATTCACTTTCATTGGCCATATAAAGCAATTCTGACCACTGACATTTTGTGATCTTGAGTGGTAGTGACCAGTTAAATATCTAGTCAAGGCCCATGAACTGCCTGTGGCTACAGCAAGTTATTCCGATGGGTAGGGTCACCCATTGAGACCTGAATACACTAAGTAAATTTTAGAGCAATTGTTGTCGGCAATCATCATTGGAAATGGCATACTTTCCGATTTACGCGGGAAGTTGCACGTTTATGCCGATTCACTGCATTCCAATTTTCCACAAACCGTCAACCAATTTCTGGTGGCCAATGTTGATGACCAAGTTCATTAAATGGCTGCCAGAGCTCCGTTGCTTCGAGCCAATGCCGTACTAAGTTGCCATAGTTGCCAACAGTGAACGCATTTACAATGAGCCTTGCGTGGCATTTAAGCACTGTATAAGTGCAAATACTTATCCTAAATTCATAAGACCGACAGAGACAATTGCCCTCCTCCTTCGTCTGGTGTATAGCTCGATAATGTGTGTAAAGCTAACAGGAATATTGAGGTTTGTGAGCAATTACCCTCAAGTGAATAATAATTTCAAATTGTATCGCGTACAGTTTTCACTCTCAGGGAGCGAGAACAACTCAGACACATGAGGAACCACAGACAGCCTAGAAGGCAACCACACTGTGAGCCGGCACCAACGATTTCCCAAGCTCTGTCATCCTTTAAATATTTCAATGTTTTTTGGACAATTAAAGAGCGTAAATGCATGTCGGTGAAAACCGGAGAACCCGAAAGAAACCCACGAGTGCAAGGAGGCAACACTCCATCCCTAACAGAAGGGACAGATAGTATCAGTCCGTGCTTTGCAGTACCACCCTGCTCCTGGCGAGCCAGAGTACGGCTCCCCTTTGACAGCCACGGGTAGGGCTTTTTGAAGCACTCGTGCTGCGATCCACCACCCTCGCCACCTTCACAGCGCTTGATTACAGGCAGCCAAGTGCAGGGGACACCGCCCACCCCTCATGCATCGTGGCATTAAGTGCGTTGCGCTGGCGCCGGAACGAACCCGCACGCTGACGTTGCGGACGGGGCGGCACACGATGGTGCGTGCGCGAGCGGCGAGCTGCAGGGCGCCGTGCGCCTCGTGAGCAGCCTGAGCACCAGCGCTCAGTGTCACCAGCAGCGCCGTGCAGCAGCTCCCGCCCAGGCTGTCGCCAAGGGAGGGTGGGTGGGCAGGTGGGTGCGGGTTCGGTGGGTGGGTGGGTGGGCAGGTGGGTGCGGGTTCGGTGGGTGGGTGGGTGCGGGTTCGGTGGGTGGGTGGGCAGGTGGGTGCGGGTTCGGTGGGTGGGTGGGCAGGTGGGTGCGGGTTCGGTGGGTGGGTGTGTGTGTGTGCGGTGATCGTGAAATGGGGGGAGACAGACATGGCAAGAGTGTCAGTGAGATTTTTTTTCAGATTTCATATCGAATGGCCAAGGTTGCTGTGCAAAGTAAGTGAACATGGTAATTCATATTGCATGTCTTAAATTTCACAAATTATTTCTCTTTCTTTGCTGTCCTTTGAGGGCAATGTAATGTAAGAATGTGTGGTACTAGGTGGCGAGATGTTATCTACCTTGCGTGGTATACAGGAGGCCGTGGGTTTGATCCTAAACATGACGCCTGTATATTTAGAGTTTACATTTTTTCCCTGTGGTTGTGTGGATTTTGCTCCGGGTCCTCTGGTTTTTACCTCCACATTTAGAACAAATATGCGTTTAGCAGTATTTGCCTGCTATAAATATCCACATAAGCCACTTCGTTGAGCTATTATTTGTGGCCAGGTCACTTCTGAAAAAGAGCTGTTTAACTCAGTGGGCTTTACCTGGTAAATAAAAAAATTGTTCTAGATTCGGGTTTTCCTCAGTGCAATGCTGCTCTTGATACCGGCTTTCTGATTTTATCGCAATACCATTTAACCGCACTGATACATTTTACTGCACTGATCACACACCATCGTCTGGTGTGTGTATCTATTAATATATAAAGGTATGTGCAGTTGCTGCTCATGTTTGCACACTCATTTAAGTAAATTATCTCAACGCAAAACAACAATCCCAAACAAATCCCTGATAAATATCTGCCGGACGCTGCGACGCCATCCAAACCGTGACATCACAACACTTTGTAACCATCGCCCCCGACTGGAGGACTCAAGCCCGTTGGCACGACAGGTGCCGAGTCACCTCGTGGCGCACAGGGATCTTCTGGCAAGGCTCAATTCATTGATTCAACATGCGCTGCACACGTGCGTGCGTTGGAGTCTGTGATCCGTATAACGTGTGCGCAATATGCCCTTGTGTATTTGTCCGCAGTAACAACGCATGCGTGCTGTAGGGTACCAGTCGCGGAGAATGCGCGTGAGCTTGGATTCTCGGTACGGGATGTGTTGGCAGCCCGGGGTGGTCAGAGCAAAGATGACCTGACAGGGCATCCACGTAAACCACATCCGCGTCAACAGACAACAAGTACCGAACAACGTATTTACATCTTCCCCGCGTACAGCGTGCGTGGCTCGACTCGACAAGAATTCGCCGATTTATTTTTTATCGCCCTTAATTTTTCTTCGTCTTGTTCCCTCGAAGATGACAAGAAGGTTTGGGCCCCATCGGTTTTGAAGTGGCGCATCAGCGTCTGTGTCGGCGGAGCGGGGGGACCGCGCGGTCACGCGAGCGAGCTGGGGGGGGCGAGGTGTGACGCTCACGTTGGCGAGCAGAGTGAGCGATCGGTTGACATTCTTAGCATCGTTGATATCGTCCTCGCCGGAGGTCGGGAACAGCCTCCTCCCGCGCTCCGAGTCGCCGAGCGCTCCTCTCCGCACCACCTGCACACGGTCACGGGGAGGCGCTGGTGGTGAAGGCGTCGAAGTCGTTTGGGAGAACCCGGGAATGTGGCAATGCGGCGGCGGTGGGTCGAGTCGCTCGCTCGCGTTCGTGGGGTGGATGGCATTAGGTCCTGCTACATGAACAAAAATAATTGGGGCGGCGGGGGTGGGGGGGGGTGGCGTGGTGGAGGGGGTGCCGAGGGGGTATCCTGTCCAATTTCCTGAAGCACAGCAATTTACCAAATCGTTGGGAGGGCGAATCATTAGACACCCTGGCGTGCATGGGGGAATACTGCTGTACGCGCTTCGCACTACCCCTATGGGGAGCAATAGCATAGTACTCTCTGCTGCAATCAATTCACTGCTCCGGCATCTCAGTTCGATTCTCAGCCAGGCAGTGGCGTAGCGTGGTTGACATTGGCCCTGCTGCGGGGAATTAAGTGATACCCCACTTCATAACCCTGCGTTTGGGCCACTCTGGTCCGTGGGGCCCGGTGCAATTGCACCGCCTGCACACGCAATCGCTACCCAGTCGACATGTAACGTTGGGGCCAATGTTTCACGTTTCCCGGGTACGCCGCTGCCCATGTGAATGCACAGAGATGGGGGGGGGGGGGGTGAACAACGGTGCTCCAGAGACACGGACCGGCATTCCAGCACACGTGCGTGGGATGGTTACCTGCAGCTGAAAATGAAGAACAGCTGCTTTCGCGAAACGTTTTTCATATAAAATGAGATCAAAGGGCACCGCGTGTAAGGCCGCTGTGCTGGCGATAGATCACGCAGAGTGAAGCGGAGAGGCACTTTACCCGTCCTGATCCAGCGAGATCCACCTGGCAATGGAAACAAAACAAGCCACGCTCAGCTGTGCTTGCAGCCCGTGCGCAAAACCGCGTCGCGCTGCTGTTAAATAAACACACAGAGTTTTTGCGAAAATAAATAAAAAAAGTGACTTACAAGTGTCAGCCTTCCTGTTATGATGGTAGCTTCCTGCGCTGCAAATATCAAAGTGTTATCGATACAAGTACTGTTCTGTACGTGCAGTGCATCCAACGCGCAGCCCAGCGGTAGCAGCGCTTTCACCGCTCGTTGCAGAGGTTCACGGTTCGAATCCGGCAAACTGCCCTAGTTATTACTGCAGTGTGTATTGAGCATGTATGTATGTTACACTTCTTTAACACCGTACGTAGCAAACCGTGCTTATCGGAGGAAGGGCAACAAACTTAACACAAAGAGCAGTTCTCAAGAAATTAGTTTTCAATTAAGATACATGAGTTATCGCTTTAGACCATAAAATACTAACCGCGCTGTCTGCATCACAGGGGACATTGATCATCATTTCATATAATTTAAAATGAGTAGGCCATTGTGTGCCAGAGTAATGGTGCAAATTTTCCAATTCGATGAAAAAAATCCACGAATTTACTCAATTGGGATTGCACTTTGTAATCATCGCCCCCTACTGGAAGACTAACGCCCGTTGGCAAGGCAGGTGCTGAGTCACCTAGTGACGCACAGGGACAGCTGCCACTGAAGGTGCCCCCTTTCAAATGTGTTGGGATATAAAACGCTTATCACGCAATCAATAGAAAAATCATTAGAACGTAGGAAACATTCAAACAACATTTTACAAGCCACATCAGCAGCAATTGTTGAAAAAAGCACAATTTTACGAAAAAAAACCTAACAAATCACCTGGAATGTGCCCGATCTTGTCAGATCTCTTAAGCTCAACAGAGTTGAGTCCGGAGAGTGCTTGGATGGACAACCACCACGCATAACAGGTGCTGGAGGCTACTATGTTGTGTGCAAAATCCTTTGCTGTACTGTACTATGCTCCAATGTCTATTCTCCCTGCCTTCACCAACCCACACTGACCAGCGTGGTGAAGTATGGTTAAATAGCGTCCACGAATCGGACGGCATGGAGAGGACTTCATCCAGCAGTGGACTGACAAAAAAAAGTATTCTGCCTGCAGACATGTACAGTACATCCTCAATGTAAACAGCAACACGGGGACTCTTGCATTCGTAATAAGCAAAGCGAGTGGAATGTATGGGGATCACTTACATTGTTGTGTGTGGATCACAGTCTGCACAACTGTGATATAAAATATGGTGTGGCTCCTACTGCCAATCTCCCCCTTGGAAATGCCTGGATCACAGAGAAACGAATTAAACTCGCAATTGGATACGATCTTCAATTGCATAACGTTGCGTGTAAAGTCTCAAATTTCCTTTTCCCTTGTCGTTCATCCCAAGGTTAAACGTACAAATAGCACGTCTTTTCTGGATGCCAATAACAATGGTTATGATGTTGCTCTGCTATAACATCCGCTCAAAGTGAGCTGCCACGATAGGATAGAAGAGCTTAACAAAGGGAGCTGCGAACTTGAGCTCAAGATAAATACGAGCAAAACGAAAGTTGTGAAAAAAGACGTGGTAGGGCAACAACTACAAAACACGACGGGGTATGTGTACCTCGTGGAATTATTAAAGAGGGACTGGGATCAGAATGATGTAATTAATAGTGAGCAAGAATAGGGCGGAGTGCTTGAATAAAACTGAATTTTATTATGAATTGTAACAACGCATGTGCTAAATCAGTGTCCACTTGGTGCACATTTATTACCTGCTACTGATAAATAAAAAATACAGATGGGACGAAAACTGAAAAGTCTGCACAAATATATGGAGAGGTTAATGCTTGGAATTGCGCAAAAGACAGAGATTAACACATCGATCTGAGACCATGTGCAAATTAGAGACATCATATTGCCTGTTAAGAAGAAGTGGAATGCGCAAGACGCACCACTTAGATCGGTTAATGGCCAGAGGAGACTGGTAATGGAATGGCAGCCAAAGGAGGGAATCTGCTCTAGAGGTTGACGACTGTGGAGATGGAGCAATGAGATCAGCTCATGTGCAGCAAGACGGATTGTGACATCGCTAAACCATGAGGTATGTCAACTATGTGGTGGAGGCGATCATGTAGCAGTGGACAGAACACGGATCGTGATGATTTCTTTCAGTTTTAGCTTCACACAACTTGGTCACACTTGAGTTTCAAGGTTTTTCTTCTTTGGTTCTTTCGGTAAAGTCACGTAGAATGAGAATAAAATAATAAATTGATAAAATAAAATAACACAATAATATTCTCACGACGTTTCGGCCACAACACAAGCGGCCTTCATCAGGTGAAGGGACGAGACTGTCTGGTAGGACAGCGCTGGAGTGAAAGAGACTGTCCTACCAGACAGTCTCGTCCCTTCACCTGATGAAGGCCGCTTGTGTTGTGGCCGAAACGTCGTGAGAATATTATTGTGTTATTTTATTTTATTTTATCAATTTATTATTTTATTCTCATTCTACGTGACTTTACCGAAAGAACCAAAGAAGATGAATCATTGCAGTCACGAAAGCTTTAAATCGAAATTTCAAGGTTTTGTTAATGATATGGGAGAATTTAAAAGATCGCTCATTCGTTCGGAGAAACTACTTAGCCAATCAACTTCAAAACAATTGAAATGTCTTTTTAAAAAACTCAAAATACTCGTCAACTTAACACTGAGTAGGCTTTCGTGACCAATATTATCCTTAAGAGGGTTTTTTTTGGGTGCGATCACGTAAATATAAATGTGTCGTTAAACCCACCACCAGCCGACACAGCCAATTAGTAAGGTTCGTCACGTAAACAAAACATGCCAATTAGTTAACTAGTTCAGCACACCGGTGTGTTGGAGAGTCAGCCCACAACATGTACAATTAGAGTACGACGTTTCGCCATTTAATTACAACCAGCCTCATCAGGCGACAACATTTCAAGGCGACAGCCTGATGAGGCTGCCTTAAGAGAAAAATATATAACCGGCGACGTTTCAGGCAATCGCCCTTCATTGCCGTGGTGACGTAACGTTCTATGGCTTGACGCTGCCGTGCAGCAGAAACCAGCGGACCAAAGGGACAATCACTGTCACCCGGAATGCTCCTCTGCTCGGTGCTCGCGTGCCAGGAGTCTAAGGGTTTCTTAGGAACCCGTAGAAATGCGTCGACTCTATGAAAACAACAAAAACCAACAGCGCCCTTTCATTGTGCACACAGCTCCGATTTTACACTGTAGTTCGCTTTCATGTGGAAGGGTTCCAATTGGGTTATGGCAACGGACACCACGTGGAGTTTTTTTTTCCATAAGATATTTCCGACTTGAGCTTCCTCTCACGCGGCCAGGTTCATCGTCCTTGCGTTGCTCTGCGTAGTTTTTTAAACAACTTCGCTTTGAGGTTTGAAAACAGCTTTGCAATCTCTTTCATTCTCATTCATAGTTCTGTATAAACGCAATCCTTTTACCTTGAATATACCTGTAAAACACGACCAAGTATGTAGCTCCTTTTAAATGCCACCTTTTATGAGGCACCTGGCCAGCATGGAAAAGTGGGCCAAAGAGGCCCTCTATAACTCCCTCTAGCGATGACACCACTGCTGATGACACCAGCAGTGGTGTCATCGAGCATGCAGAGCTGCGCCTTGACCAATTCTGATCAGCCTGGGCCTTACGATAGTATGCCATCGGGTAGTAAAGGTGCATTCATAGTAATCGTATGTTTACGTGTAAACGTGTAAAAAGAAAATCTGTGCTATTTTGTCTTGCAGTCCAGTGCTTAATTTCACTCCTGTTCCTCTCGGTCAGTCACCCGGACAAATCTTTTTGCACCCGGCACAACACATCGAGCACACCTCTTTCTATGGCCGTGGCTACAAGTCACGTGTCATTTCCAGCCCACCATTAACGCAGCAAATGTGACAAATGAGGCCCTAGTGATGTCTATTTATTTCATATGGCCATGTCTGCACGTTCCACTGCCTCGAGCACGCTGTAAGCTATGCAGCACAGAGGGTGCAGGGAAGGAATGGAGCCACAGTCGCAGGTATAAGCTTGTCTTGTTTTTGTGCTCTGCTTGGTAATTGAAAGCTTCAGGCGATAAAACGTAAATATTTCCCTCTAAGCAAGCAGTAGAATCAATGATAGTATTACACAACAGCCAGTGCACTGAAAATGATATATTTTTTTAATCCAGGAAAGCCTCACTCTATGAGTCTCAAGATTGTTTTTTTTTAAGGATGGTCCTGCATTGGGATGTTTGGACTATTCCATTCATATATGGTTTGCATGTGGGAGTAAACTGGAGTACTCAGAAAATCCACCTTGCCCACTAGGGGATACATCTTCAAAGCTCCACACGGAAGGATTCAAGAATCCACTTGCCATCCCCTGTCCACCCAACAGCCCAACATGGTCCACAGACCTTTGCAAAGCTCTGGATTTATACCGGCGAGCGCCACCACACCCAGCATTTGAAACAGCCACCGATGATTGCAAAAATATCAACCAAGTCATTAACCTGACCTCCAGCATGAAGTGGACACAATCCCCACCCTCGGTGAGTTTGCGTTTTTTTCATTTTCAGGTACAGGTGGTAGATTCATTACCGGACAGCAGAGGCAGCACGTGTTGTGATATAAACAGTGCTGAGTTCTCTCAAAGCACGTCTGCTGGGAGGCTGCATGGATTTCCAACAGGGCCCCATCTGGTGCGGGTGTCTCTGATGAAGCTGCTATGATTTCAATCGTTTTGTTTTTGATCAAACTGAAGACCTTGAGCCGTCACGTCCTGCGTGGTATTTAAAAAGCAGGGAGAAATAAACCAGCTTATTACAATCAAAATGTCTTCATCTAAGACGAGTACCTTACTGCTCTGCCAAACCGCATTGTTTTTTACGACAGCCAATACTGCTGCAATGTACCATGGTGTAAGTTTACAGAAATGCGATCACTTGAATTGCATGGAATCCATCATGTGTAGCTCATTTCAACTTCAACGCATTCACTGCATCCTGAATGGATATATTCCACAAAATACAGAGGTCATAATATATATTTCTATCCAGTTCGTGAGTAGTATAAGTATTTTTGGAACTATGCAGATATATATATTTAGCCATCCAATCGATCTTCCAAACAATCTGTAACAAAATAAATGGCACTCAGTTGAGCACTGCAATGCAAAGACAAAATCCCCCGTATAGCCTCAACAAACTGTTGGGGCAAGTGCTGTTAGCGAGTACCTATGAAGGCTAGCATGGCACACGAGGGGGCAGGTAGCCAGCACCATGCCTGGGCGCCTTTGTTTCCCTAGTGGCGATGTTTACACACCACACCAGGCACTCATTGGAGACTGAGTCGATCTAGGGGAGGCCCAGGACCGGTTCAGACAATCGTCACTGGTAGTGGCCATGAGCGGGATATGAAACCGGGTCGCTATGTTTGGAGTGCAGTACGCCAACCACTGTACTTATTACTCCCCAATGCAAAGACATACAAACACACACCTGCGCTCCGATTGGACATGCCCTTCCTGAAAGCCTTGAGCAAACCTTCCACGGACGTCACCTCCGTCTCGGCGAGCCCCTCCAACGACACTGCCTCGTCAGTTTCATGGATTCGGATTCTGTCTGTATGCTGGTGATCCTTCGGGCAAAATTATAACAACAGCAACGGTCAAATAAGTTAATCAAGTTGGCTGAGTTAAGCAAAATGAAAACGGTGTTCATTGTAGCTTTATTGTAGGCGGATATCCACTCTACACTCTGGTATATGTAAGTGTGTAGAAATCAGAATGTTATCATGTGAAATGGGTGACATTCACAAGTTGGCAGAGGGCCTTTTGAGCCTGACGAGCCCTCTGTGTAAGCAATGTCCCATCTTCTCCACCGAGACGGAGCAATCCGCCAGATTTAAATGACCCTCGGCCACCAATGTGAGGATCACACTCAGAATATCTTTGGTTGTATTCTGAGAAAAAAAAAAACTTGATAACCCACACACGTAGATAAGACATCAATGACAACCATTGATAGCACGATAGGAACACTTCATAATCCACTTGTTCTTCTGAAAAAAATAAATATATATAAAATTCCCCCACATTTTTTGTCCACTCAATCCACTAATTCTCAACAAAAGCCTAGTTACTCTCTGGATAATACTTTTGTGGGTTATCAATTATATATATTTTTTTCACAACACCATGAATTTAGAAACTATAAAAGCACAACTGATACCTTTCTTTAAATTTGGTGATTATCACCTTCTGCGTCCCGGGTTCCGATTCTGTTGCCGTGGATCTGAGCGCGTAAATATTGAACGAGCCGGCGTTCTACAATGGGAGTTTATTGAGCGGAATGCAAGAGTACTTGACGTAGGCCAACCAACCAGAAGGTCGTACAGTCGCTCGTTCCACAGCTGAATGAAGGAAATGACGACCCGATGTGTGCAACCAAGGCTTGACTGTTGTATCCCTGCACTCACAAGTCAGACACGTCCAAATGAGTGGCAAGAGTAATGTTGTATGCAAACGGTGATTTACAGACAGCAAATGGAACAATTGCGACCACAAAACTGTTCCTTGTGTGCCACGTGACGTGAACGTACCACGTGTTTAATTCACACAGCCTTGCCTTAGACCACCAAATTAAAACGTCAAAATTATGCCGATTTTACTATTGTCAATGGCAGAATGAGTGGTGTTGGATTCACCGCAGCAAAGGTTTGGTACAAAAAATAACAGCTCTTGGAACAGTTTTATGGTCCAAGTTTGTTTTAAATTCTAAGGCTCCCTGGTCTCGTGTTTTGATGAAAAACAAAAATGGTATTCTTTAATTCCAGAAAAAAAACAAGATGTGTGTTAAATGGTCGGTAATCTACTCATGGAACTGTCACTCGTTTTAACAGTTTGAGCATTAGATTAACAAACAGTACCAACAATACTCACTTACAATTTACGCACTCGCACAAATGCGAGCTTGTTTTGCCAAGGGTGAGTAAAGTCAACATGGGTCCTATCCACGATCCGCGTATAAAACTGTTCTGGCCAACCATCTCCAAGAGACAAGAACACACCGCCTTAGGCAACGGTGGTGATGCATTAACCCAAGTCATGCCCTACTCCAGGAGCCGTGTTCACGCTGAGCGGGTAGATGGGAACCATCTTGAATGCTAGGGGGCAGGGGAATAAAGTTTCTGTGGGGGCCAATGTGGACTAGCCAAGAGGATCCATGTGGAGTAACCAAGGGGGCCCATGTGGAGTAACCAAGGGGGCCCATGTGGAGTAGCCAAGCGGGCCCATGTGGAGTAGCCAAGGGGGCCCATGTGGAGTAACCAAGGGGGCCCATGTGGAGTAACCAAGGGGGCCCATGTGGAGTAACCAAGGGGGCCCATGTGGAGTAACCAAGGGGGCCCATGTGGAGTAGCCAAGGGGGCCCATGTGGAGTAGCCAAGGGGGCCCATGTGGAGTAACCAAGGGGGCCCATGTGGAGTAACCAAGGGGGCCCATGTGGAGTAGCCAAGGGGGCCCATGTGGAGTAGCCAAGGGGGCCCATGTGGAGAGTAACCAAGGGGGCCCATGTGGAGTAGCCAAGGGGGCCCATGTGGAGAGTAACCAAGGGGGCCCGTGTGGAGTAACCAAGGGGGCCCATGACCATTATTAAAGGAAGGCACAACCTTTCCTCCTGTCTGAAAGTAAATTACGTAATTCGCGGGTACAATTGTTCAAATTTGGACCACGACGTCAGTACAATACAGCTTATTCTCCTCAGGAAATCTTCAACGTCCAATGTGAAGCGGGCAGTGAATACGTCATGGTTAATAAACCCACAATATTAACCAGCGTGGCCTTGTGTATTTGACCTGCGAGCTTCTGCAATAAGCAGCGAGCACGCGCTACCACTGGGCCGCGTCCCCGCTTGTGTGAAATTCTGTGATGTGAAGCGCACTCTTGTGACTGAAACACTTAACGCGTAGGTTTTTTTCCGACTTCATGGATATTATGCCAGAGATACGTGGCGCAGTTTCAAGCAAAACGTCGCGATAACTCACGATTAATTTTGGCTGCGAGAATTATTCAGCTCAACAATAATTGGCGTGTTCAATGACTGTAAGTGCAACAATTTAATGTGTTTGGCTATGTCAGTTGGTGAGGTGGGGGTGGGTGTGTCTAACGACCCAGATCTGTCCAGATAATTTCGTGGCCTAACCCAACAATCGATTGTGGATCAAATAAATAAATTCTTGCGGATTTGTGGACTCGCCGACCCTGGAAGATGTCCTCAGCTGCGCGTGAAAGCAGCCCACGCTGGCGGCCGCCGCAGAGCCCCGTGCCGTAGAGTGAGTGCGTCTTCCCCGTGGCCGGGGCGCCGTACGTGGCCACACAGCCGTGGAACCCGTCGAGCACACGCCGCACCAGGGGCTGCCGCCAGCCACCACGACACATGCACACACACGCGCACGCACACACACACGCACATATATACGTACACATGCACATACACAACAAAGACACCCCGTGTAGCTCTAACAGACTGTTGGGGCAATACCGTAAGAGAGCACCCATGAAGGCCGGCACAGCACATGAGTGGATAGGTGGCCAGCACCACGCCCGGCCGCCTTTGTCTCTCCAGTGACGATGTTTATACACACCGCATCAGGTACTTATTTGAGGCTGGTTCGACTATGGTGAGGACCTAGGACTGGTTTAGGTAATCGTCACTGGTGTTGACCATGAGCGGTAATCGAGCTCACGCACACACGCACACGCACGCACCGCCAGCATTTTAGAAAAGTTTAAAATATTCGCTTTCGGGGATATTTGCTTTTTCTGAGTGTTGGCAGTCGTGCAAGACACGTGAGTGCCTCGAGAAAAGTGTCTCAGTAACCATGGTTTGCCATCTCAACAAGCAAGCTGAGATGTAAACCAGGTCTGGTATTGGTGCCGTCTCATTGCTCTAGTACAAAAAGCTACCAATGATAGACCACGCCACAAACACTTGTGATAAATTATTTTCCTTTGCTGGACAAACGTCTTCCCCTGCCGTGTCAGTCATAGGGGTTGTTTGACTATACTACACCACACTGGTGAATGAGTGGCGGTGTACAGGACTGGTCAGATATCACTCACCACTGATGTAAGCTGTAGCAGGAAATCGAACTCAGGTCACCAGATTCATAGTGCTGACTGCTACACCACAACTCCGTCCATGACCAACATATTAATTAAATATGTAGGCGTGTGAACGGTGTGGCGACATCCACAGCACTGGCCAATATGACCTCTTAACTTTTGATAAGGCACATAATAGTTTGTATTGATTATTTGATTGAAATGTGTTCTTACACTTACAGTACACGAATCGTGTGCAAAAAAATCAATAATTCGTATGTGCTTGGTTCAGGTTACCCCTGCAGCCACGAGAGACTCTAAACTCAACACAACGACAAAACTATTGATACTTCAATTGACCCCGAATCCTCAAAATCACAGACTCCCGAGGGATAATCATGAATTACCTAACACATCTATGACATGGCTGACCTCACTAACCCTCACGTGATCGCCAAATACAAATGCAATTTTAATAACTATTAAGTCCATCAACAACACGGGCAGCAGACATTATTTTTCCTTACCCAAAGGTGCATGTCGTAATTTTCCTTCAGGCAACAAATAGTACCACAATGTAATTATTTCTCAATTAATATCGACCCTTAAATCTCACGAAACATGCATCAAATTGCGTATGTAATTATATGTTTTTCCCTGATTCGTATCTACTGCATATTGTGTGAAATGCTTTAATGTCACCCAGCAGCCCCGAGAGATAGCATTCAAATATTGATTTAATTCTCTGACGTGGCAGCAATAAAGTGGTCGAGTGATTTGAATATCAATCTGTGGCAATACACGGGAGCATAGGAAGACCTCTGTGGCCACTGGAGACTTTATACAATTCACAGCAATGTTTAGTTTAAAAAAAACTGTCGATGCTTGAATAAAATTGCGACCCTGAATTACGGCCATTCATTCGGGGAGGAGGTAAATCATTCCACCCACGACGTCTCTGCAATAGTTATGCATCGAGTGAACAAGTGACGACGCTGCAGCACGATGGAACAATGAATGGGCGCCACAGTGGCGAGATGTTAACTACCTCGCCCGGTATACAGGAGGACGTGGTTTCGATCCCGACCCTGCCGCTTGCATGTTTGCAGTTTGCATGTTCTCTCTCTCCCCGTGGTCACGTGGATTTTTCTCTGGGTCCTCCGGCTTTTCCCCTCCACATTTAGAATCAACATCACGTGTTTATAGAGTATTTGGCCGCTATACATTTCCACATAAGCCACTTTGTCGGGCTGTCATTCGTGGGCCAGATCGCTTCTGAAAAATATCTATGTATAGGCTCAGTGGACCTTACATGGTAAGAACAAAAAATAGTTCAGTTTTATAATAAAAACAAGTATGGCTTAGATTCATATCGGCCATCGTTTTTACGGAGAGCAGCGGCCGCTACCTTGGCAATGGCCTCGTACACGTCCCTCTGCGAGGCGTCCTCGTCCAGCACTGCGTCAAACTCCAGCACCTGCGTCTGGTTCCCCTGTCACACGCGCCGAGCCGCGCAAGCACCAATTAGCAGCCACCACCTCATTTCAGGCTGCACCGTCGACTGGAACACGCGCATCGTTAGGCCTGCAGCAGTCGCTCGCTCGCGTGAATATAAGGCGATGACTATGGTTGCCAGCAGAGAAGAAGCCTCAATCCAGCAGCACACGGCAATGGATGATGACCAAGATGATGATGATTGCTTGGGAATGATAGAACATCAACTTTCTCAAGAAAGTGCGGATAAAGTATAAAGAGGAAAGCCAAAGGGTTTGTGGCAGAAAAGTGGCCTTGGCTGAAAGGGAAAATCTGTACCGCAAATCTTCAATGTGTTTGGGGTTTGTAACGCATGTTGTACAGCACAACCCAAAAATACCATCGGAGAGCTATACAGCTAAACCGCATAAACCCATTAATGTTACGGCTGATTATGGGGTATAGAGAAAAGTGATGGTGTATGATTAAGTTTAAAAACAAACACTGAATTCCACAGAGATGAGAGCGTTTAGGTGGATGATGGATGTATCAAGGACAGACCACATCACAAACGATACCACTAGGGAATGAGTGAGAGTGGCACCCATTACCGAGAGCGTGATGGAGTATCGTCTAGACCAGGGGGTCAGCAACCTGCGGCTCCAGAGACGCAAGCGGCTCTTTAAGGGCTGCTTCGTGACATAATTTTTTAAGGACCGCAATCTCGTATTCACACGCATTGTGGAACTTGAAATAATGTTTTTTTAAATACCAAATTCGAACAAAAAATGTCTCTTCTTGTATTTTAGTTGCTGACCCCTGGTCTAGATTGTTTGTACATGCCGAGCGCAGAGACACGGATTACACGGGTAAGAGAGTGCAGAACAAGCGTTTAATAATTTATTTCTACATCATTATTAGTATTATCATCTGCTAGTCTTTTTGAGCCAGCCGGCAACCAACTCACCATCACAGTGGTGCACTCGGCTGCTCCTGACGTGGTTATCTGGCTTGACCACCTGAATGTGAAATTGTAGTCGTTGGTCTAAATCTACACCAGCCATACGAAAGAAGGATAGCTGTGTGGAGGGAGGGCTCTGAGACCACCGACCACGCTTTCGTCGGAAGACCCAAGAAATGGGGGACCGGCGGAGACAGAAGAAGAGACAAGGAAATGTGGTGTCGACGGGGATTTGCGCACAAGAAACGGGAGTGGGGAGTGAAGACTCCAAAAGAAAGCCGACCCCAAATAATGGGAAACTGCACTGAGAAGAGACGATTAACTTCTGAATGCACCAGTCCTCACCCGGCCAGTGTTGATTTGAACTCCATGCTGTCCTTCTACTTTCACGCATCGCTTTGTCTCTGCAGCACAAGACATAGTGTGTCAATGGATACAGCGACAAGGCTATGGCCGCAAATGGGAGGCAATGAACATTATCCATAGAATGTTATTATTACTGCGTGTGAATTACTGGCTGCACATGGCATCAGTCTCTCTCGGGTTTTTCAGTCTCAAGTGAGACGAGCAGCTGGATTCATTGATGATCGAAATAATAAAGCGGCGTATGACGTTCAGGATGATGATGCTGTTGTTATTGTTGATGGTGATGGTGGTGGTGATGATGGTGGTGGTGATGATAAATATCGTCCTGCATGTGCCTGTCTGGTGGATTAAGCGCTGATATTGAAACGACTGCCATCGCAATACAGTCTCTAAATTAGACCACCTGGACCTGTTACCCAAGACTGGAGTTTTGTAGCCTCCTCAAACTAGACCCACGAACCACCACTCATTATCTTCTTCCTACCGGCTATCAACCAAAAAATACACGCCGTCTGCTTCACAGAGGACGTTAAAGTTCCCATGACGTCGGTTACAAGAGCAGGCCATTGTGTGCCGGCGCTATGGTCCAAATTTGCCAAATGTGAAAAACGACCCACGAATTACTCACTTGGTATATACATAGCAATATTTGCCCACTACCGCAAAAACTTGGCAGGACCCTCTCCCGAAAAAGTGTCACGAGGCTCAGTGAGTAAACAAATGTAAACAATTTTTCTTAAAAAATACCAAGCCGAATTGTATTGCAGCCTGACAGATCGGCTCATCTTTAACCCAGAGTTATACTGCGAGCAACTGAACCTGCCGTGCAAAGTTCCCAGCGATACAATTGCAGTAAACCACGTGCCAACGTTGCCCCAACGTTGGAATATGGTTGGGACCTTTGGCCCAACGTTGGCACCCTACATTCCACGTATACAGGGATGCTCTCTGCGTATAAATGACGTGGTTGGGGGGGGGGGGTAATTCGTAGAACTCCAGCTGTGCGGACCACTGACGAGATCCATCGTTGGCGGCATTGCTCGTTGATCGAATGCGTTTCATCACCGAACCTCGGCAACGATCTCTCATTGGGTTTAATGCCGGAAATCCCACGCCACCGATGGACGATGTCAGCCGAAGCGTCTCCCCCGTTGTCCTCCATGCATGCTGCCCCCGCGCGACCACACGGCACGCCTGGGGGGACGCACCGTCGCTCTTGTCGCCCGGGCGCAGGCGAACCAGGACGCGGAAGCTGTCCCAGGGCGCGTCCTCGGACTCGGCGCCTCGAGTCGTCTCCCAGCCGGAGGCGCGCTCCCCCCCGCTGCACGGTCACAATGGCGGGCAGAAAGTGCGCGACGCATGAAACTAATGGCTTGGTGATTAGGTTGGCTACGTGCGGTCCGAAAGAAGTTCAACATACATACGTGCATTAGGCTGCTGCTGCTGCTGCTGCTGCCAGTGGTGCGCAAGCACAACTATAACAAATACACTCAAAGCATTCGTCAATAACAATGTCGTGGCCTTAAAGGGCTAAATGTATAACTGGCGACAATTCGGCCAATGGCCCTTCTTCACGTAGCACGTAAACAGTGGCAAGAGAGAGAGAGAGAGAAGGAAATTGCCACGATTTGTAAATTACATCGATTTAATAATCTTTTAAAACTTACTTTATTGAATTACATCGAAAATAAATAACATTCATATGAACATACTTCACCAATCCGCACTGACCAGCTGTGGTGAAGTATGACTTAAAAATAAAAAAACAGCCACAATGACCGACATGGCGTGGGTGCATCGGCCTTAATCCAACAGCGGATTCACCAAGGGCTGAAAATAAAATAAAATCACTTAATTATTATCAGATCGAGGAAGGCTCGACGCGATCGATTAAGTGATTATTTCAACCGTCGATGATGGTCGCAGCTCGACTTGGCATCACCGGCCCCGATGGGTCAGCAGCAGAGCGAGCGGCTCGCAATCGTTTGATAGTTCACATCCTGGTTTGGGGTTGACTCAGCCCATCACCTCTTCTAGGTCGAGGCAATATGTACCACTTTGGCAGCGGAGTTAAAAGTGATTGTCTTATGGATATACTCGCTGCCGCCATACGAATGTGGAAATTCCAGCACTGGCTATGTGCTGCGAACGTGGAGATGAGCACCACCTCAATGCTCATTCCATTTGAGCAGAAAATCACGTGGTGTATGGGTCTGTGACATTTGGCTGGTCTCTATGTTAAGTCTGTGTTTCATGTAAGTGTGAGTCTATGAGTCTATGAGTCTCTAAGTCTACGGGGTCTGTATGTATGGACAGTTGATGTTACTGGGGAAGAGGCACGGTTTTATAAACACGTAGAGAAAGACAAGGGCGAGCAGCCGACCCCACGCAACAATGGGACTAGTTATAATGAAAATGCGTTGGAACAACAACGATAATACAGCACTGGATTCTCACTCTTTAGGTGGTGCCACGTCCTCGTCTCGCTCCATCGGGACCCCTGCAAGGGGACGGAGACGCGGGGCCCGATCCTCCCTGTGATCCCCGTGCGAGGGTCCTGGGTCCTCTGAGTCCGCCGGGTCACCTGTGTGTCCCGACGTCTTGCGTCGCTGGCGCGGGAGCCGCAGGTTGGCTGTGGAGTCGGGCGTGTCCGCGGAGCGATAGAAGAGAGCCGGGAGGGGTGGGGAGAAAGAGACAGGAGGGGTTGGGGAGTGAGCCAGGAGGAGTTCGGGAGTGAGCACGTGCAGCAGAACTCTCCAAATCGCTGCTGAGTCAATCATCATGACGAACATCATCAGCCAATTAGCCAAGCCTGACTCTTTTGATGAGACACGGACATGGAATGTCGAACACCGGTCCTGAGTTGTCTTGTGTTAGGCCAATGCTGCTGAATAGATGGACTCCCTTAAGGCCGCGTGGCCGATGAAATGAGTAAAAACAAACCATTCATGAAATGTTATGTGGAAAGACGACAATGCAAAGGAGGTCTATTTTTCATCGTATTTATTTAATTGCTGCACACTACCTATATTTGTATCCACGACGAAGCTAATGTTTATAGTTGTGGTATGTATCAACAACCATCTGCTGAATAAAGGCTTCTCCAAGTTGTCACAGTCTATCATCCAAATACCGTACGAACAATTTCTCGGCCATGTGATGGTACATCGAGAACTACAATCTGTTCTTAAATCATAGATCATCACTCTCGGGATACATGCAAAATGTGTTGCATGAAAAAACAAGACGATTTACCCTGCGTGAAATTAATTAACGGTTACATTCAGACGAATGGGGTGAACACAGCTGTACAACCGACACTCGAAAGTGAGAAACAATACAAACGAGACGATAAACACGAGGCCAAATAACTACTTGATTTTTATATATATCGAACGGCGACCGGAATCGTCACAAATAATCGAATCTCCGTACGGGGAATGAACCTCTTGCACCTCACAACTACACACAAAGACCGTGTTAATGGCTAAAGGGTTGCTTCCTTGTTCATTTTAGAGAGACAAGCAAAAAAACGTACAACCATTTGTCAATCCACTGCGAGATGAACGCCTCCCACCCTACACTGGTATCGGTCGCGGTGGTGGTTGCTTGACCATACTTCACCAAGCTGGTCAATGCGGGTCGTTGATAGATGTGAGCGAGCCCAAGACCGGTTGAGATCATCACTCGCCACCGAACACGCAGGGTGTGTGGCCCGGTCGACAACTCGGCTTGCCGGGTTCACACCGCAGCGCGCTAATCATGGCGCCACCGCTCAGTTTCAGTTCAGTTCATTTATTAGGTACAGCCCTGTGAGCCATTCGCCTCTTGACTCGGGTGCAAGCGCAACAACAACAAAAAACATGAACAAGAAAACATCTTAAAGTGACTACGCGCAACAGAAAAATCCAGGGAAAAACAGCAAAGTCTTCCAGAAAAAGCCCCGAATATCAATGCAGTGTGCAAAAATCCCAGTGGGATGCTCCACGCGGGGCACCTTTAAGACGCGACAGCTTCCCGCGAAGTCAACGAAGCCAACAACAGCGGTGGTGGCCACGACTGTAAAAATGCAATGGTGACCTATTCTCCCTGCCTTGGATGGGTTACCATCGCCGCGGTTAATTATACAAAGGAAGTCGACTGTGCAGTGCAATCACTCGGAGCCTTTGATGCTGTGCGATCGAGTTCCATGATTGACCCTGGATTCGGTACGTTCAATTACCTTTCATCATCATCGGCCATGGTCAATCCACTGCTGGATGAACTCCTCAAACCGCCTCCACCTCTTACGATCCTGCTATAACAGTTATCCAACAAGCACACGCACTGCTTCAATCGCTCCACCTCCCACGCGGACGTCCTAGTGGACACATTCCCGTGCCCTGGCTGGCGCTCCGTTATTATTCTCGATCCTCGTCCCTTCTTGCGAAGCGTCCTGCCTAAGCCCCACTTAAAAGACTGAATGATGCCATTAAACCTGCGTGTGTTCTCGAATCCGTGCGTTCGATTCCCCCTTGCTGGCTCTCAATGTAATTCCAAGCACGCATCCCTCCGCGCTTTCTTAGCGCATCCTTCGGATCTCTTTGTCACAACAACGGCCCTCACGCTGTAGGGTTTCGTGGCTGTGCCGCATGTCTCTCTCTGTTGTGTTTTTCCCGTTGTTACACCGCCGCGTGTTGTTTGACGCAATGTCCCCGGGGTCGAGTGCTTACAGGATTTCGGCGTTCTCCCCGCTGCGTCCCGGGTTCGATTCCCGGGCAGGGACCTTTTTTTGTTGAACAACATGCGATATCGACCAGAATACATACCATAAAGCAACCATGACTATTACCCATCAGAACCTCGCTCAATAATATTTTTTTTTACAAGAGGACAAATATCTTGGCAATGTCATTAGGTTGATCAGCGATCTGCTCGTGGGAGTAGAAACCAGAATACCCGGAAAAAAACACGCAATGAGTACGCTGGCATAACAATTCAAAAACTACGCACATTTTCTTACATATATATTTGCTGTACTACCATCTCCTGTGAACCTCACAGTCCAGCGCGTTTGGTTCGGAAACTTTGCCTTCTCTACTTGATCCACCAACCCTTACCCCCTGCGTCCCCCATCCGGCCCAACAATGCGTGGGACCACACGGAGCGAAACGACGACGAGGAGGAGGAGGACATCTGTGTCTTGTTAATCATTACAGAATTCATTAACGTGCGAGAGGAGGAGACGCACTTACTGGCACGGTCTGACGGGATGCCCTGCATCACGCGGTTGCTGGATGGCGGGTGAAAGATCTCTTCCCCGAGATGAATTTACTCTAAATTAATACACGTGTAGCTATAGCTCACTGGAAGAGTCACAACTTCACCACAGTGTAAATGTTGCCACTACTGATGCCCACTTTCGCCGCGACTGACCGAGAGGCGAGGAGGCGGTGGCAAAGAGACCGCGTGTTTCTGCGGCGTGGGATCGAGACGGAGAGCTTTTTTTTTTGAGAAGGCAGCCGTGCGAGTGGCTGCTTCCCCCCCCCCCCCCCCTTTAACACGATTATTTATTTAATTTGTGTCTCCCCTTCTTCTGAAGGAGACCTCCACTCGCCGGGGAGCAAACATTTGCTTCAAAGGGGCCGGCGCCCTCTGCCTGGATCGTGGAGCGGCGCTCGCCACAGCAGACGCCCGCAAAAGCACGCACGCACGCACATGGGTGTCCGTGAAAGTCGCGTGTTTTTTTTTTGCGTGGCGTCGTATCCCCAAAGAGCCCGCGTTTGCTCTCCTTCGCTCGCGAAGAACCCTCGACGCCACGGTGCAAACACGGGTCACGGAAAGAAAAAAAAATGTTGACGAATTTTTTTTTTCGCTTTCAGAAGTCGTTTGAGTTTTATCTGCCACCAGACACAGACCGACTCCGATGAACGTTCGAGGTATGGACAATCGTGGCGCTTTTCTACTCGATGAGACGGCACAGTGCGCAAGTTTTCGTTAATAACACCGTACCAAAGAGACGACGTAATATACGAAGTTTCGGGCAATGGCCCTTCTTCACAACATAGAGAGAAGATAGGCCAATGAGTTGTTTTAGTTTTCTGTACTATTACACTACTACCAACAGTATCACATTTCTGTTGGATGGACATGCAAGATGTTTCATGGTGGATTTTTTTTTATAATTCGCATGATTTATTTACCCAGAAAAAGCCTACCTGGGCCTCGTAACACTTTTCTCAAGAGGATTCTGCTACATTGGGGAGGTTGGCCAATTCTTTGAGCGAGAGTTTGGCACACGAAGGGGTGACGACTCTCACTCACCTGCTGACCACGCCTCGCTGGCCGATGCCCAACAACACCTGGAAAATATTGACTTAAAGTTTTCGTGACTGCATGAATTCATATTCTTTTGGTCTTTCGATAAAGTCACGTAGATAGGTTGAAAGAAAATAACAAAAAACTACGACGTTTCGATCACAACACAAGCGATCATTATCCTGATGACGATCGCTTGCGATGTGATCGAAGCGTCGTAGTTTTTTATTATTATTTTCTTTCAACCTATCTACGTGAAAATCTGGATTTGAAGCTTTCGTGACTGCAGGAATTCATACTCTTTGGTTCTTATTTTGTCTACCTACGTGACTTTACCGAAAGAACCAAAGAATATAAACACCTGGCAAACCCTGGTGGGTGACTACCCATCCGAGCACTCACCAGACCCCCAAATCATGCTTAGCTTCCGAAATCAAACTGAGAGTGCGCGCATTCATGGTGGCTTTGGTCGTTGGTTGAGTGACAGCCCTCACGTGTGAAGACCACAGTGTGTGCAGCCAGCCACTTATACACTCAGTCCGCGTTGCAAAATCAGAATCTGTATTTAGACTGGATGGATCCGATGACCTGTGAAGATCTTTTTCACAGATGTCCAGTACTTTTTTTCACAGATGTCCAGTATACACTGGCAAAGTAATAACGATAATAGGTAATCACGAAGATAGCCGTCCACTTTGGTAAGTAAATAGCACAGGTGCATTCATGTACAGCAGCCCCTTTTGCCAACTCACTGCTGGATGAGGGCCTGCCCACACGATCGCGTAAACGCACCGCGTTCACGTTGGGCACGGAGTTAAGACAAGCAAAATCCTAGACCGGTTTTGACACATCAGCAGAGGCAGGCTTACTTGAATCAATACTGGTGAACTCCGGTTCTTAAAGGCAAGGACCCGCTCTCTCCTTTTCCAATATCCGTCCTAGTTCGACTATTACACCGAAGAACGGTGATTTCCCGAAACGTGAGCGGTATTTATGGCACAAGGCACAGATGATAACGAGTCCTTCCACCTGTGAGCGCAACAAGAGGCACGTGTCAATGTCAAGGCACAAGTGAGCTGCGAGCCGGTTGTGGCACTCTCAACCCACGTGCTTTGGCAACCCACACCGTAGCGCGCACATGGGCGATCATTCGGGCGCCGTGAACACGGCTGTAAGGGTGTCGCTCAGTAACAACCATGAGGCGCTCGCACGCAACGACACAGATTCCACGTGTAGACTTGTCGCAGGCTGTCGGGAAAAGTGCTGTGAAGGCGAGCACACGACGAGGAGGTGGTTTGTCAACACCACGCCCGGCAGCCTTTGTCTCCCAATTGTTGTTTTAAACACACCGCACCAGATACTCCTTTATGGCTGAGTCAACCTAGGACTGGTTTAGATCATTGTCAACTTATGTTGGTCGTGAGCAGAAATCGAACGCTGGTTGCCAGTGGGTTCGTGGTGCAGCGCGCTAACCGCTACACCACCACTCCGCGCTACACCATCACTCCCGACCACCACTCACCACAAAAAAGAAAAATATCCCCCGTATAGCCTTAACAGACTGTTGGGGTAATTGCTGTTAGCGAGCACCTATGAAGGCCAGCACAACACACGAGAGAGTGGGTGGCCAACACCGCGCCCGGCCGCCTTTGTCTCCCAAGTGCACTAGGTACATTATTTTAGTCTGAGTCGAACTAAGGGAGGCCCAGGACCAATTAAGATAATCGTCACCAGTGTTGGCCTCGAGTATCGCCAAGTTCGTAGTGCAGTGCGCTTACCGCTCCACTAGCACTCCGCACACGTGCAACACAAAGACACACACATGCACTGCTTACGTTACCCACTTGCCAACAGCTTCTCTCTCTTACACCACCGCGGCCGAGTGTCGCTCCGCAGACGACCGACAGCTAAGCTCCCATCATCGCCTCTGCAACATCATCCCGTCATCACGGAGCCCCCGGAGGGCAGCGCAGACGGGGTGGAGTGGGTTGGGTTGGGGGAGTTGAGGTATGGAAGAGGAGGGGGGGTGATCGCTTCTCGAGTGGTGAACGATCTCTGTGCTGCCAAGTGAGTCATCCGCGGGACCTGGGACGGCCCCTGCGTGCGGTGGCTCACAAAGAGAAGGCAGCTCCCTCTTCCTCCTCTTCCTCCTCCTCCTGCTGCTGCTGATCCTGCGCACCTCGCTTTGCGCTGTACGGCTTTCCCGTGTTGGGTGACATCCATACTGTGGTACATCCATATCGGCTTCTCAGGATTACAAGACGCTCAGTAAAGTAAGACGTCCAGTGTCAATAAATGTGTGCAATTTTGACAACAACAAAGATCCCCCGTGTAGCCTTAACATGCCGTTGGAGAAAGTGCGGTTAGCGAGCACCTACGAAGGACGGCACGGCACACGATGGGGTGGGTGGCCAGAACCGCCTTTGTCTCCCTATTTACGATGTTTACAATTTTGATCACACACACATACATTCGCCAGATTGCTTTAAAATATAGGGGGAGGGGGGGGTAGGAGTGAGTCTTATAATCCGGGAAATACGGGAGTACAAATAGGAGCGGTGGCGCAGTGGTTAGTGCATTGCACTGTGTATACGGTCACCTGAGTTCCATACCCGCCCATGGTTAATATCAGTGGCGAACAAGATCTGAACCGGTCCTGGGGCTGATCCCTAAATCGCTCTTTGCCAATCTGCACTGATCATGAGAACCATGATGTGAGGTTAAGCAAACTCCGGCTACTGACATTCAGAAGGTGATTGACAAAGTTACGTCGCGTGTTCTATTGAATTAACAGACGCGAATGCCTCCATCGCCACGTGATATCTATAATGTGTCAGTGCGCCCGTCCCTCCGTCACGCTCTGGATCTCTCAGTTTGCCGAAGGAAAACAATGAATGAAACAAAAAAATATATTTTGCCGACGACATTTCTGTAAAATAGTCGCTTTTATGAACTTCCAACATATTGACCCCAAAAATGTCGAAAAATTACTCTTTGGAACATCCATTTGGACATGATGGTGCAATTGGACCATGTCTTGCATCATCGCATCTGCTTATACCAGATGCGATGATTACTGGCTGCTTGGAAGTAGCAAAACCCGCGAGCGTGATTGGGACGCGAATAACTCCTTTCATTGAATATGTCTGCGTAACATTTCAGAATTGTAATATATTGCCGCTGTGCATTGCGTAACGGATAACAGTTTGAACTATCTGGGGCAGATGTGCATCGTCATGTGCGTGAAATGAGCCAAGCAGGCAAGCGACTGTCACTGGCAAACAGCAGCTTTGATTTTTCAGAATCCTATGCACAATGTCAGATTAACTCTGCCGTTGGCCATTACACCGTATTGGTTATAATAGCGGAGATCCTGCAAAGGGTATGCATATTTTTTTCCTATTTCAGACTCAGATCCTACGACATTCAACATTCGCTGTGAACGATTTCACAAAATCTTCAAGAAGAAAAACATATCATGGCTCACTTGAGTTAAGTGCATCCCCCTCCTTACAATAATCTCCAGCTAAGTGATGTCACCACAACAGGGGGGTTTTGGTGAGTGCGAATTCCTCCAGTGCAAAAGTAAGATTTATCATGAGACTAGTAATGCCAATAACGTCTACATTTATAGGCAGATTTGAACCAAAGCTTGCAAAATTCATATCACTTGCATTTTGCTTAAGTTATATAGCGCACAAAATGCCCGGGCAGTATTAGCAATGAAACAAAGTAACGATGTAAGTCAGTCACCCTATGAGCATTTTGCAGCAAATCGTTTTGACATCATTATATTTGCTCGAGAATCTAAACCGTGGAACGGTTTTGACTTCTCTGAGTGCCATCAGCAGATTCAGACACTTTTGTGGAACGTGATGAGCACACAGGTATGAAGACCATGAATTGAGCACGTAAGGTAATGTGCAAATTCAATATAAAGTCTAAGATTTTCATTCCACGGCGATACCGCCGCACATACACTCGCTAGGTTGGATGGTCCATTAAAACCAACCTTCGATTCTTCATCAGTTTATTTTAAGAAAGATCATTGTGTAGGTATACGTAACCAACATTTAACACCTGTATATAATTGTATTTAAAAAATCTAATTTTGCTTGCTTATCAACATTCGGGTTTCGCAAATAAACCAAATCAATTGGCATATTTGCCCACGTGACAACTTGATTTGATAGGTTCTGTCGGGTGGTG